GGAATCGAATTGAAAACCCTGATATTAACCCACACACCTATGGACACCTCATTTTTGACAAAGAAGCTAAAGTTACACAATATAAAAAAGAAAGCATCTTCAACAAATGGTGCTGGCATAACTGGATGCTGGAATGTAGAAGATTGCAGATAGATCCATATCTGTCACCATGCACAAAACTTAAGTCCAAATGGATCATAAATCCAGCCACACTGAACCTCTTAGAAGCAAAAGTGGGAAATACCCTTGAATGAATTGGTACAGGAGACCACTTCCTGAACATAACACCAGTAGCACAGACACTGAGATCAACAATTAATAAATGGGACCTCCTGAAACTGAGAAGCTTCTATAAGGCAAAGGACACAGTCAACAAGACAAAATTGAAGCCCACATAATGGGAAAAAATATTTGCCAACCCTACATCTGACAGAGGACTGATTTCCAAAATTTACAAAGAACTCAAGAACCTACTCACCCAAACACCAAATAATTCAATTAAAAAGTGGGGTACAGAACTAAATAGAGAATTCTCAATAGAGGAATCTAAAATGGCTGAAAGACACATAAGAAAGTGTTCAACATCCTTAGCCATCAGGGAAATGCAAATCAAAACAACTCTGAGATACCATCTTACTCCTGTCAGAATGGCTAAAATCAAAACCACCAATGACAGTTTATGCTGGAGAGATTGTGGAGAAAGGGGACCTCTCCTCCACTGCTGGTGGGAGTGCCAACTAGTACAGCCACTTTGAAAATCAGTATGGCGACTCCTCAGGAAAATGGAAATCAGTCTACCACAAGATCCAGCAATTCCACTCTTAGGCATATACCCAAAAGAAGGACATTCACACAACACAGACATCTGTTTAACTATGTTCATAGCAACATGATTTGTAATAGCCAGAACCTGGAAGCAACCTAGATGCCCCTCAACTGAAGAATGGATAGAGAAAATGTGGTACATTTATACAATGGAGTACTACTCAGCAGAAAAAAAAAACAATGGAATCTTGGAATTCGTAGGCAAATGGATGGAACTAGAAGAAAAAATCCTGAGCGAAGTAACCCAGTCACAAAAAGACAAACATGGTATGTACTCACTCATATGTGGATTTTAGACATAGAGCAAAGGATTACTAGCCTACAATCCACACCGCCAGAGAAGCTAGGAAACAAAGGACCTTTCTCCTGGAGAAGGGGAAAGGGACAAGATCTCCTGAGCAAATTGGGAGCATGATGGGAGGGGAGAGGGAGTTAGGAGAAAGAGAAGGGGAGAAGAGGAGGGGAGAGGAGGACATGAGGGAGCAGGAAGGTTGAGTCTGGGGAAGAATAGAGGAGAGCAAACTAAGAGATATCATAATAGAGGGAGCCATTATAGGTTTAAAGAGAAATCTGGCACTAGGGAAATGTCCAGAGATCTACAAGAATGACACCAACTAACAATAGTCGAGGGGCTACTTTAAATACCCTTCTCCAATAATGAAGCTGATAACTACCTTATATGCCATCCTAGAGCCTTCATCCAGTAGCTGATGGAAGCAGAGGCAGACACCCACAACTAAACACTGAGCTGAACTCCTGGAATCCAGTTGTAGAGAGGGAAGAGTGATGAGCGGGTCAAGACCAGGCTGGAGAAACCCACAGAAGTAGCTGACCTAAACAAGGGGGAGCTCATGGGCCCCAGACATATAGCTGGGAAACCAACCTAGGACTGATCCAGACCGCCTGAACGTGGGTGTCAGTGAGGAGGCCTCGGCAATCTATGGGGCCTCTGGTAGTAGATCACTATTTATCCCTAGTACAGGAATGGACTTTGAGAGCCCATTCCAAATAGAGGTATATACTCTCTCAGCCTAGATACATGGGGGAGGGCCTAGGCCCTGTTCCAAAGGATATGACAGACTTTGAAGATTCCCCCATGGAAGGCCTCTCACTCCCTGGAGAGCAGAAAGAGGATGGGATAGGGGATTGGTGAGGGCAGGGGAGGAGGAGAGGAAGAGGGAACTGGGATTGTCATGTAAAACAAGCTTGTTTCTAATGTAAATTTAAAAATCTGAGACAAAATGCAAGATAAGATGTGAACAAATTAGATGTGGAAAGTTATTCCTTCCTAAGCGAGATTGCTCAAAATCATCCACATACTGTTTTCTCTAATATAATGAATTAATTTATTGGGGCTCCAGTAATGATACCAACAATTTTTTTTTCTCGTAGACAACATGACATCAAAAATCCATTTACAAAATGTCCAAGGATTCCAGGACAAGAAGAAGAATCTGTAAGTTCAGGAAGTAGGGGGGGGAGGTGCAGTGGAAGGGGAAGGTGTGGGGGCTATTGTAACAGAGGAAAAGCAGAGGACACAGTGATGACCTGAGTTATAACGCTGGCGCTGGCACTGGCACATGAACACATGGGCAGACTGATGGGGACGAGCTTTCAAAATGACATAGGGATGGTCAACCAAAGCAAAGCGTGCGTGAAAACAAACCAACAAGGAAACCTACTACTTTGTAAGATAATTTTAAAAAATAATTTTTAAAAATTTGAATAATAACATCTAGCTCGTTAATTCACTGTGATTATAATAAAGCATAATTAAAGATGATTGATAATTAAAGGATTAAAAAAAGTCTGGAAATAACCCAAACACAAATGACAATCATATTTGATGAAGAATGACTGTTATGGGCTGGAGAGATGGCTTAGAGATTAAGAGCACTGGCTGCTCTTCCAGAGGTCCTGAGTTCAGTTCCCAGCAACCACATGTGGCTCACAACCATTGCTAATGGAATCTGAGCAGGTGTACATACAGATAGAGCACTCAGTTATACATATATAAATGTTTTTTTTTTTTTTTGAGACAGGGTTTCTCTGTGGCTTTGGAGGATGTCCTGGAACTAGCTCTTGTAGACAAATAAATATTTTAAAAAATGAATGACTTTCGAATAAATGACGTTGGGACAACTGGGTGGCCGTTTGAATGGGGGGGGGTAAGAATTCGAGCCATTTGGATGTTGACTGTCTCACACTTGACATGTGAGACAACATACACAGGCATAAAAAGGATCAAAGGCCTAAATGAAAACAGAAATGACACCACACAGGACAGAAAGGAAAATGTCCCCATGCCCTCATTTGTTTCAACACGATACCTGTTGAACTATGGCATCAAGTTCACGGGTGTAGACTATAAGAAGGTTATAGCTTGGCCTTACTTCTGTTCCCGTTGTCTGTCTCCTGACTTTCCAAGATGTGGAGAGCCTTGCTAGAAGCTCCCCACTGCTGTAAGTATAACGGTTCTTTCCTCACTATGGCAGGCTGAGACCTGGAGCCAAAACAAATGTCTTCTGTCCCTTATTTTGTCGCTGTGATGAAAGAAAGCAACGAGAGCAGAAAGCCGGTGCCAAGGAGTGGGGCCATTGTTGTGGTAAATTTGATCATGTAGAGCAGCCTTTGGAACGGGTTTGTAAGAGAAATGTGGAGGAGCTCGATGCTGTGAGGTAAAGGGGCCCCAGAGCTCTGTAAGTATAATGTAAGGAGCCAGTCTGGACAACAGGAACTCTGTTCATGGCTTCCAGACAGGAGGAAGACCTTATTGGAACTTGGGGCCATTCACAGTGCATTTTTAACAGGGAATATCTCTATGTTCTGTCCATCTCCAGAAATTTTGAGGCAAGACCTTAAAATAATACACAGATGTGTATGGCAGGTGGAATTTCAAGACAGTGTAACACTCAGACCATGGCATGGTCCTTACTTGCTGCTTTAAACCTGTTTATAATGATAATCTAGAGTGAAAAGTGGGACAGAAAGTTGTGGAAAATATGCAGTTTGCGAGAGTGGGTTTAAGGCTACAGTCAAGGTGAGTGCGGATAAAAGAGCTCTAATTATTAGAAAGGTAGCCAAGATCTTTGTTCTGGCACAATAAGAAATGTGCCCTGAGAGGGTACTGCCCTCCAGCTGAGGATCCAGGGTATAAAAATGCAAAGTCAGTAGAAACATCTTCCTTTAAAAGGAGTGCCTAAGAAGATTAAGCCTACAGGGCACACAGCTCAAACAGAGCTGCGGAGGGGGGTATTTTTCCAAGGCTCGGACACACAAGCCTTCAGGGAGTGCTGCATCCATGGTACAAGAGGACCAGGCTACCGTTAAGATGAGCACAGACCTTGATATCACATAACTGGTGCTGTCTGCAAGCACAAAGATTTCAAGGGTTATGGGGTCATGGAGATCTGCATCAAAGTTCCGGAGGAGAACCGATGAGACCAGGCAGCATGCCATGAGAGATGTGCTTAGGGAAAGACTAAGTGGTAACGGAGACACCTGAGGGGGGCCACATATGCCATAGACAGCAGAGACACAGGAATGGGACTAACCAAGCCCATTAGAGCCTACACAATGTCATCACTTGTCACAGCTGGTTTTGGGTTCTCACTGGCACAATCGTTCTTTGCTGTCCTCCTGTTACCTCTTTGGGAATGAGACGTTTACTGTGTTGTACAGAATAAGGACTTAACTCGTCATTTGACTTTATAAGGGGTCAATGCTAAGAGTTTGCTTTGAGTCTCAGAAAAGACTTTGGATTTGGGACCTTTGAACAGTGCTGGAACAGCTAAGATTTTGGGGACTATTGGAATGAATGTTGCATTATCAGATGGCCACAAGCCATGGCAAGGGCATGGTTTGAGTCTAAAATGTTCCCCATGGAGTCATATGTTTAAACACTTAGTGCTCAGTTGGTGGCGCTGTTGAGGGAGATTATGGTCCCTTAGGAACATGGAACCTAGTTCATGGATGGAGGACACTTAGGGACAGCCTTTAAGAACTACAGCTGGGTTCTCTTTCCAGTCTGTTTTTCCTCTATTGCTTGATCCACCAAGATGTGGGGAGTGTCTAGCACACACTTCTAGCACCAGGAGCTCTACTGTGTCTTCCCCCTGAGGTGATGGATAGAAACCATGACCCAAAATAAATCTTCCCTTCCTTAGATAGCTTCAGTTGGGTGTTTTGTCAAAATGATAAGAAAATTAACTGGTGCTGACACTAACATACATGATAATTACTTTATATCTTATTGAAAACTCAAAAATATTACATAAAAATGAGCAGAAAGACATGAACACAAACAAATACAGAGAAAGTGATTAAACACTTGGATATACGCTAAATCTCACTTAGAAACCACTGACTAGAACTACACTGGCATCCCATTTGCTAAGCACTGGGGTGACAGGAAACATGAATGCATGGCGGTGTGGCCTGGGTATGAAACAGCCCTTCTCAGATATCTTTAGTAGATGCCAGACTTTTCCTGCTAAGGGAATTTGGCAATATACTTGGTGTTTGCTTTCTAAAGCTGATGTAACCAATTACCATAAACAAGTAGCTCAAAACAACAGAAGTCATGCATTTTGGGAGGGCTGTGTTGCTGGCGGTTATCTTTGTCCCACTAGGTTCCGCCATTGCTTCAGCCCCAAATAAGCACACAAAACTTACATTATTAAACTGTTGGCCGATGGCTAGGGCTTCTTATTGGCTAGCTCTGTCTTAATTATTAACCCATTTATATTAATCTAAGTATTTTCACATGGTCTTAGCTTACCGAAGAATGCCTGGACCTATTTCTCCTTTGGCGGCTACATGGTGTCCTTCTCTTTCTGCCTTCCTTTCCCAGAATTCTCCTTGTCTCCTAGTCCTATCTTTCTGCCCAGACAATTAGTGTTTTATTCATCAACCAGTAAGAGAAACATATATACAGAAGGGCATTCCCCATCAGGGTTAGGTGCAAGGGCGAGGTTTGTCCACTCCATTTCTTCCTCCGAGCTTGGTGGGTGTCAGCAGCCCTCTGCATTCCTTGGCTATGGGTACTTCAGTTTCTGCATCTCTCTTCATGTGGCCTTTGCTCCTGATGGTCCTCTGTATTATGTCCCCTCTGCCTTTCTCTTATGAGAATATTCATCATCAGAGCCAGAACCCTCTTCAATCCAGTAATCTCTTCCTTCTGTCCTTAACTTAATTACACCTACAAAGACCAGTTCACCCGATTGTCACATTTACATGTTCTGAGAGCTGGCTCTCAGGGTATATTTTGGGGCATCTCTATCACAAACTTCCTTATCCTCTCATTTAATTTAATGCAAAGGTTCTTTATAATGACTTATTTTATGTGTGTAAGTGTTGTCTGCAAGTAGGTATACCATATTCATGCCTGGTGACCATGGAGGTCAGAAGATGGGTGTTAGATTTCTTGGAACTAGAGTTAACAGATGGCTGTGAGTCACCATGTGAGTGCTAGGAACCAAATCTAGGTCCTCTTGTTCAAGAGCCCCCAGTGCTCTCAAATGCACACCACACACACACACACACACACACACACACACACATTCATATATAAAACTCCCTGATAGGTTATCCAATCCCAAGTGCTCAGCGTGTGTGTGTGTGTGTGTGTGTGTGTGTGTGTGTGTGGTGTGTGTGTGTGTGTGTGTGTGTGTGTGTGTGTGTGTCTGTGTGTGTGTTCATGCATGCCCTAACCCCAAGGCATGTACTATCTTTCTCTTACACTTCTCTCCCATTTAATGTTCATGCTTAAGTCTACATTAAAACCTCCTCTTAGTCAATTCCAACCTATTCTAAAAAGTAAAACAAAAGAAAAAATTTATTATTTTAAGCATTTATCTTTGATCCAGAAGCCTGACTTTGAAGAATTTAAGCTAATGATACAGACAATTTTAAAAATAGTTTCCTAAACATTTTGTAATAGTAAAACATTAGAAATTACATAAATGCCTAAAAATAGGAAATTTGTTGAGTAAACACTAGAATACTGTGAAGTCATATAAAGAAGTGACAAACCCTACAGGCATGATGATTTCATAAGGAAGAAACAAGGAAGTACAAACACATATGGGTACCCTTATATAAAGAAATACAAGAAAAGGAACTAGAAAGAAAGTGGTTAAACACCACACTGATAGCTGGGGAACCAGCATAAGACCAAACCAGGCCCCCTGAACGTGGGTGTCAGTTGTGAGGCTTGGGAAGTTTATGGGGCCTCTGGCAGTGGAACCAGTATTTATCCCTAGTGTTCAAATGGCCTTTGAGAACCCATTCCCTATGAAGAGATACTCTTTCAGCCTAGATACATGGGGAGGGCCTAGGTCCTGCCTCACATGATGTGACAGACTTTGATGATTCCCCCATGGGAGGCCTCACCCTCCCTGAGGAGTGAATGGGGGGTGGGATGGGAAGCTAGGAGGGAGAGGGAACTGGGATTGGCATGTAAAATAAGACTGTTTTTAATTTAAGTAAAATTAATTAAAAAAAGAAAGTGGTTAAATGATGCACCAGAGACAGAGAGGGTTAGATGAGAGTGGGAGAGACGGTGTGGGACCATGAATCTCTTACTGTAGCTTTTTATATGGCTTAGATGCTGGGAATAACATTAACATCTTACAGACTCATCAATACAATTATGATAAAAGTCTCAGAGCCAAATGAAAAGACAAACAAATGAGGACAAGCACATTCAGATAACCACACAGAAGGAGAGAGAAAGAGCTGAGCCAAGGATCTTCTGAACATGGTGTTTGGACCATATGCTCCCACTTTAAAGGAGAAAACACTGCCAGAGAATCTCCAAGTTTTCTCTGCAGATTTGCTCTCAGAGTGGGGTAAGCATATGACATTGTGATATTATTTATATGTCTTGTGGGGCAGAGCAAAGAAGGGAAATGCAACTATGGACCAGAGAAGCAAGGAAGCCTGCTAGGGGTGCAGCTCAGTGGGAGAGTGCTTGCCTAGGATGTGTGAGGACCTGCGTTCAATCCCCAGAGAGAGAGAAACAGAGAGATGACAGAGATGGGGACAGAGAAAGACAGAGGAGAACAAGACATGGAGACAGAGAGACAAGCAAAGAGACAAAGGGAGACAGAGTGGCAGGGAAAGGAAGGGATGGAAGGTGAAGAGATGGGAGGGAAAGGGGAACAAGGAACAGCCCTGTGGGGCTAGATATGAATTGGAGGCATAAATGCATGGCTTGGAGATACACATAAATGCAAGCATAATTTTAAAAAAAATCCCTGGGTTGAGAAGTATTACATGTACTGAAGAATCCATGCATCTATTTTAGTAGTCCTAATAAATATACTTACATTTACCTGTGTTAAAAAAATAGATGGAAAATGTGATGTGGGACATACACAACAAGTGAAGGGTGTGGGGGATGAAGCAAGTGACGGTGTACCCTGCGAAGATCTTCATATGAACTCAGCTTGGCGTACCTGCATCCATCCTGAGCTACAGCCACCGCAATGGCCCAGCATGATCCTAGTTAGTTTCCCTGCGTAGTTTCCCAGCTGCCTCCAGACAGAAGAACTGTTAGCATGGTGCAGCATGGTGTATGGAGTGCTGCAACAGGACCCTGGTACAGATCTTGGTTTAAGACATCATTCCAGCACAGTGAAATCACTCATACTAGCCAACTAAGCAGCTCCTCATATAGACCCAGTGGTAGGATGCATTTGGACTTGATACCACCCAGGTCAGGCTTCTTTCTGTCAGTAATTCCGAAAAATCACACTTCGTGTCAATGTAATCTTGGATCTGTCCACCTCTATACCCCTGCCCAGGCTGTTCGAGATCATTCAGATCCCTGTCTTTATTGCCCTTTTGTTGCTTTCATCTCTCTTCCAGGAAACAGACAAAGCTCTGTGGTCAAAACAGGGATTCCCCAGATATCTCAGAAAATTGGTGTTTGATTTTCATGGCTCTCCAACTGTCTGTGGTAAATATTCTTCAGAGGATGGTGTAGGCAAGAGTGGAAGTGAGAATAAACAGGAGTGATCTCATAGCCCAGAGGTGGAATTAGGGGTTGCTAACAGTTCTGCTGGCACCTAAGTTTGACACAGTAACAAAAACAAAAATGCCTTTAAATTGGAGTGTGAAAAATGGGCATCCTGTAGGGGATGCTTGTTTGCTTTTTCAAAATGAGCTGGGTAAGAATGGATGGAGACTTATGTGACAGAGCTCTAGGCAGGGTACCACAAAGTCATGCTTCTCTAGGGATCTGCCTCCCCACAATAACCAATAACAAGGCAATAACGATCTTTGACAAAATATACTAACCAATGTCTTTCTTGGGAATCCTTGGTTCAGATGAGATGTGTCATCTAGCCATCTCTACCTGTGAGGAGGTGCCTACCAGCTGGTGATCACATACCTTCTGAATAAAAACCACTCCTCAGTCTGCTCTCTGGATAGATGGCTCTTCAGGATAATGGGCCACCAACTTTCAGGCAGCTAGTCCATTGGTTAATGACGTTCTTCCCCAACAGTCACATTCCTGTCTAATGACTGGCCTCCATCATAAGATGAGCAGGTGGCCAGCCACATCTGCCAGGGTAGATTTTCTGGAATGCCACTGTATTTGAAGGCGTGGTATTTTCTTTTGCCTTCATGTTACAGTTGGAGCATCATTATTGTTTCTTATCAGTTTTGCTTTTTGAGAAATCCTCTTTTTTTTTTTTTCATATAGGGTCTCATGTAGCCAGGCTGGCCTCAAACTTACTATGTGACCAAGGATGACCTTGAACTTGTAATCCTCCTCCTGCCCCCGCCTCCCAGTGCTGGAATTTCAGGTGTGCTCCACCGTGTTTGTTTTGTGAAGTGCTGGGACCAAAACCCAGGGAACAGGCAACCAATTAAGCTACAACCCCAGCCCCTATTACTTTCTCCCCCTATTATTTGGGTAGGCAGTATTAACTTTAAGTCTCACTTCAAGAATAGGAAGGGGCACATAACAAAGCTTACACGTGATAATTTGTTAAGTTTAAAAAGTTGTACCTTAAAGACTGTCTTCCAGCTCTAACTCGGTACTTGCTTGTGAGGGTCAGTCCTCAATACAGAAGGTAGTACATGGACCTTGCAACAGACTTTGTATTGTAAGAAGTGACCCAGTGGCCCAGTGGAAACCCACTCACAACCTCTGGACTGACAATTCCTTGGGGACAAGACAGTGGGTCTTTAATTCCACCTAAGTAAATCCCTTATGGTTCCCAGAAGCAGCCACAGGACCCACCACAACCTTCTAGAATCTTCATTCCCCACTCTGGGAGGGCAAGCCTCTTGTGAATTCTGGTCATAGGTGGGGTCACAGGACCAGCCTACGGAATTTCCAGAAACAACCATATCCCGGCAGTGTGTTAATCAGTAACAGTCCCAAGGGGACCACACTTTGGAATAACAAATATTTGCAGAAGGCTTTGCAAAGGCTTCGAAGCTTATGCCTCTTCTCTCTGAATGGTCTTAGCACCAGTGGTCCAGAACTGGTAAGCGTTGGTAGGTGGGGGGGTGTGGGGGAGTAGGGGGGGCCCTCCAGAAAGTCTAACAGGGAAGGGTGAGGAGAAGAGCCACTTTCACTCTCTCCTAGTGGACTTCAAGGTGAGGTCTAGGGGGCAGGCATTGCTTTTTCAGCTTAGACCCCAAAGGACTGTAAATCAAGTTGGGCTTAGGGTGGCATAAAAAGCATGTCAGCCATAGATAGGAGGTAGCCAAAGAAATGGCTCTGAAGACTTGGTATTTGTCATCTACCACAGCTCACTGCCCAGGCAGGTGAGCCTGGTACCACCAGGGCTGGAGAGAGGCAAGGGAGGCACTGTTCCCCACATACTGCTCAGAGCTGTGTCAGGCAAACAATCCGTTTCCTACCATTCAGGCTCCGTGTGACCAGAGTCCCAGCAGAGAGTGAGCTATTGAGGACATCTTAGTGGTATATACCTCAGCCTTTAGGACACTGGTAATATAGCCAGGTTTTGGGCCTGAGGGTATAGTAGAATATCAGAGAGTTAGCACCTGACAGCCAGCGGGAGGAGTGTGGTGCTGGAAAGCCACTGCCAGAGCAGGGTTAGCTTCCACCGGACTATGGATCTGGGGCATGGGTAGCCAGTGCGTGCCTTCAGGGGCAATAAGACTGAGTGGGTTGAGCCCAGGTCTTGTGTGAAGAAGAATCAGCCAAGTTTCCTGCAGCCATCTTGTAGCTGTGGGTAGAGGAAGGAAAGGAGACTTCCCAGGAACTGTGTACAGGAAGTGCAGGGGAGAAGGGGCTTAAATCAGAAAGCTCTGTGCAGAAATGCCTTCCTTTGGTCAGATTCTCTCTTGGACCTTCCAAATCCCCACTCAAAGGTGTTACACACCAAGGTCCTGTAGCTCAGCGCGGAGGGGCTGTTTGATATGCCTTATGAAACAAATGATAAAGGCGAAGTAAAGGTCAGTAAATGGCCCCAAATCCCACCTGAGCCTGCTCTGAGGTCCATTCCACAGGAAAGGGCCATGACTGGCCAGTGAGCAGAAACTGGGGGAGGGACCACAAGCTCAAGGACCTTACAGAGGACAGGACTCTTGGAGGAAGGCTTGTAAACCCCCCACCGTGGTAACACCCCCACCCCCACATACCTATCTGCTCCAGGTCAGTCTAGGGTATCACTAACCTGCAGGAACCCAGAAAAGCCCACACCTAGCAATAATGCTGTCCTCCTGGCAGAGGTGTGGCTGGTGACCAGTGAGAACAGCAGCTCCCATTCACCAAAGGCCCAGGCAGAGTTGGAGTCTTGGGATCCTCAGAACCATACTTGGGAGGAGAATTCATGGACTGTCCCTGGTGATGAGGAAGAAGAAGATTTGCTGAAGACTAGCCAGCAGCAGCTCTCCAATGAGACTTCCAACTTTGGATTCAGCCTGCTTCGGAAGATCTCCATGAGGCATGACGGCAACGTGATCTTTTCACCGTTTGGTCTGTCTGTGGCTATGGTAAGCTTGATGCTGGGAGCCAAGGGAGAGACCAAAGTCCAGGTGGAGAATGGACTTCACCTGCAGGCCCTGAGCCAGGCAGGACCCCTGATCCTCCCATCCCTCTTCAAAAGGTTCAGGGAGACCCTCTCCAGCAACCAGGAGCTGGACCTCGCCCAGGGTAGCTTTGCCTTCATCCACAAGGACTTTGATATCAAAGAGACCTATCTCAATCTATCCAAGAAGTATTTTGATACAGAGTGTGTGCCTACAAATTTTCGAAATTCCTCACAGGCCAGAGGGCTCATGAACCACTACATCAACAAAGAGACTCGGGGGAAAATTCCCAAGCTCTTTGATGAGATTAATCCCGAAACGAAGTTAATTCTGGTGCACTACATCTTCTTCAAAGGTATTTTGATAGTCTTGTGTTGTCAAAAAGCTATGAGAATCTGACCCTCTCTCCTTTTCCTTCTTCCGGTCAGTTTAGTTAGCACTAAAGGATGCTCTGCAAGCAGGGTCTCTGCTTTGCAGGCCCAGTATACACTGAAGAGGGAACGATGCTTTCTCCAAGGCCCCCACTCTCACTGCAGACCTGTGGTCCTGAGCACCCCCACCACCACCACCTGCTGACATGTGGTCCTCAGTTTCCATAGTTCTTCTGCCTGGGTTTCTTCTAATGTTTGGAAGAGGTAACACAGAGCTATTGAATGAGAAACTCACTATCAGCGAGACATCTCTACTCCCTTCCTCTGTCTTTGTGATCTGGGGCAAAATCTCTGCCCTTGGATTTGTTGTCATTATTATTGTGTGTGTGTGTGTGTGTGTGTGTGTGTGTGTGTGTGTGTGTGTGTAGGTAGGTAGGTAGATATACCTAGCAGTCAGAGGTGTTGGATCCTCCTGGAATTGGAGTTGCAGGCAGTTGTGAGCCACCCAATATGGGTGCTAGGAACCAAACTTGAGTCCTCTGTACAAGCAGTATGTGCTCTTAACTGATAAACCACCTCCCCAGTCCCATAGTCTTATAACAACTGGGACTCTAACTTGTTAAAGGTATGAAGCCACAAGAGCCGACATATGCAAGGTACTACACCATGTGCTTGGCAGTTACTACCCACCATGGGACAGAAACAGGTTGCATCTTTGTTCTTCCTGGCAGTCAATGTAGATGGCAGAGTAGGGTCATTGTCTCCTTTCTTAAGGGGATGAAGGTGAAGGTAGAAGAAGCTAGGTTGATCAGGATCACACACGGATGGCCGAGGTTAAATGTGAAGGATCCCATGATCTCATAACCCCAGTTTCTTCTGCCCCAAAAGGGCACAGGGTATGGCATGCATGCCTCTGGTTCCTAAAGGAGACTCACAAAGCCATAGATAGAAGGGCCATTTGCCAGCACCCCCAAATGCTCAGTGGAGAGTCATGTAGTAGCCTCTCCTGTTTCCAGAATCACATGAAGTAATGCTGAACTGGAAAAACCCCCACTACCTGTAAAGTATGTTTGCATATGAGCATGCTGGGGTCATGTGGTAGCTAGGAGTCCCTCATGCAGACAGCCATTGGAAGCCTTCTGCCAGGAAATGAAGTTTTGTTCAGATCCAGAACAAGGAGAACAAAGGAGAGGAGGGGGAGTCTTCACTTTTGTGTGTGGTTCCATTATGGGTCATTGGTAGATTCTTTGAGGAACTTGCTGCCTGGGCTGTGATCCAAGCAAACCTGAAAAAGGAATGGCGTTCCCTGTTTGGAGTAAAGGGGGTAGTATACTCTCTCCTCTACCACTCAAGTGAAACCAATGTGTTCTGTGGAGGCTTGCTTCTTTAGGGGCTTTCTTCTGACTTGTTCAGGGAAGTGGATGACTCCATTTGACCCCGCCTTCACCGAGACTGACACTTTCCACCTGGACAAATACAAGGCAGTTAAGGTGCCCATGATGTACCGGGAAGGCAACTTTGCCTCAACCTTTGATACAAAGTTCCATTGTCACATCCTCAAACTGCCCTACCAAGGAAATGCCACCATGCTAGTGGTCCTCATGGAGAAAACAGGTGACCACTTGGCCCTGGAGGACTACCTGACCATTGATCTTGTGGAGACATGGCTCCAGAATATGAAAACCAGGTATGATGCTACTTAGCCTGTTATCCTCATGAATATTCCCAACAGTTTTACCTAATGTGGCTTACTGCCCAGGCTACCCAGTGAGCACCAAGCTTCTGCAGGCAGACGCAACATCTGTCCTGCTTTTCACTCTATCTTACTATCAATTCAGTGTAGGCCTAGCTTTACTGTTCATTAACTCAGCAAATACAACAGTTTGCCTATTCAGATACCCATTGATTCCATGGTTGCATCAGTTGAGAAGCCAGGCAGAGGGAGAGAAACAACACTGTAAGAGGATAGAGCACATCAGCAGGTCAAGGCCAAGGCAAGGGATGTTCTCATATTGTGATGAGGGGTGAACTGCATGAGTATGTCTGGGAGAGGAGTCTTTAGAGGCAGGTAAAGCATGGCTGGTGGCTCTAAGGAACAGCAAAGTGGCCAGTGTAGCTGCAGCCATTAGAGAAGAGTTGAGAGGATTCGAGGACAGTTGCCTCAGAAGTCCTGGGCTTTGCCTGCAGGAGATGGGGACACAGAGGGCTCTGAGCAGAGGTTCAGGGAGATCTGATGAAAGGATCACACAAGAGCCTGTGTTGAGAGCAGGCACTAAGGATGAGGAGGACCATGAGGACACCAGTCAGAAGATGCTGTGTAACTTCAAGATGCCACAGCTTGGGCTATTATGGTAGCAGGTGAGATGACAGAGGTAGACAAGGCTCTGGATCTGTCAGGAAGGAAAAACTGATGAAACTGATGACTAGATATGGAATGGGGTGGGGAGAAAAAGAAGGAGAAAATAGAGACATGGATCCTGGGGGCTATCAGTCAGTCAACCTGTAGTTCTTGGCTCTGGCATCTCAAGGATGGGTGTTTCACATACTAAGAATGTGAAAGGAACAGGTATGGTAGTGATTTCAGAGCTCAGTCCCAACATCTTGACTAGAAACATCTCCCTGAGCTCTACAGGAAGGAGGCCAGGCCAGGGCTAGGCCAGAGTCTGAGTCTAGGAGTAACAAGTGCCTGGCTGGGGTTAGGACCATGAGAGCAGGTAAGACTGAACATAGAAGGGACTCTGTGTGGAGAGAAGAGATGGAAGGGTGGGGTAGATACTTGGGTGGTTGTTGGAAGTCAGTCCACCTGCTGAAGAACAGGTAGACAGCTCCAGTAAGAATCTCATTGTGTGCCTCCCAAGTCCTTCCACTCTAGAGCTAGTACAAAGATAAGCTCAATGGAAGGTCCTTCTATAGTTTTACTTTCGTTTTTCTGCCATTTTTTTTTTCAAATCTTTAGGCACTAGCAAAGGACTGAAACATGATCCCTAGCAAATGTTTGCTGACTGACTACATTTATGAATTAACACTTAGTAAAGTCATAGCCTCTGTTATTTCCAGCCTGGAGCCCGGCCCAGCTGTGCAACAAGTGAGAAGTGGAGGAAGGGTGTATTTATGAAATAGCTGCTGCATACCACACATTGTTCTAGACACCTTACATATATCTATCATTCTTTTCAACAACTCTAATACTGGTGTATGTACTTTTGACTACTCTTAACAGAGTAAGAAAAGTGAAAACCAAGATTAATTTGATGTAATTAGTAGCTTTTATGTTTTTTTAAATTTCTGAGCCAAAAAATAAAAATAAAAGCAACAAAAAACCCTCATCTTTCCAAATCTCATATTCTCAGAGAATTCATGGTAGGGAAAATAAATAATCTCAGGGCTTCCCTGGCTAAGACAGCAGGGCTAGTTAGTTCAAAGCCCTCTTTGCTTCCTTTGTCTGCCCATCCCCAAATTCTCTGGGAATACTGAGGTCTAAGGTGCTGGGCTGGGAACAGTATCCTCCAGCAGTGTGCAAGGACGCAGGAAGCAGCTAGAGAGTTGGTTGGGATTGTGTTTTAAACATAGGGAAATAGACATGGAGTCTGGCATTCTTTGCTAAGAAGCATTTTGGGTCATGAACTGAGAAGCTAGCTCACTGGGGTAGACACAGTAAGTTTCATAAGCCAGAGTATTTTCTCTGGAATAGAATACTAGCAAAGGATCATATGAGCTATGTACAGTCAAGCAGAGGAAACACTCGTGGAGGAAGGAAGAAAGCATGTGCATGTCAGCAGTCCCCAGCCATTTCACTGTCATCTATCCTTGTGCCACAGGAAGATGGAGGTTTTCTTTCCCAAGTTCAAGCTGGACCAGAGGTATGAGATGCATCAGCTGCTCCAGCAGATGGGAATCAGGAGAGTCTTCTCCACCTCAGCTGACCTCAGCGAACTCTCAGCCTTGGCAAGAAATCTTCAGGTGTCCAAGGCAAGTCAGGGGTTGTGCTGAGGCCAGTCCTCAGCATGCAATGCCACTGAAACCAACAAATACTGTGCAAACCATGTCATTGTGATTAAATGTCTAACTGTAGTAGGGAATTTGACTCCAGTCCTAACAGCCTGAAGTAGCATTCAAACCGTGCTACTCAAACATCATTTTAAATAAGTTCTCTTTGGAAGAGCTCCATCCCTCCTCCCTCCCAAGGCCTAGGGAGGCATCTGCCCCTCATACAGACAGGCTTTTAACCCATCAGTACCTGTGTTGAATATCAAAAGGACTCATGAAAGCATATCACCTTTGGCACCAAAGAAATCACTGGTCATCACCTGGCCCAACCTCCTATGCCCTGTGATGGCCATTCCATCTCCTCTATAATTAGCCTCGGAGACCCTCTTGTTCTTCCTCTCCCCCTCATTCACCCTCCTTGCTATTCTTCAGACAAGGAACTCATCCCTTCTTTGAAAAGCAGCCCAATACACAAATGGCTGGTTCTTTTGCAATATAGTGACTGGTAAGTTCTCCAACTCACGCTTTTTGGTCTTTCTTCTGGAGTATTGAGAACAAACTGATTCAACTTTGGTAACAGTCAGCAAATATTTGATGCCACTGCTGTTGGGACCAAGCTGGTACCTCTGGAAGATGTTTTGAGGTGTCTAAACACGCTGAGTCCTTTGACGTCCTTCCGGCTGGCAGTGAAGGGGAAGCTCGTGGTTAGTCTTCTTGCTAGCTCACACCAAATCTGTAACTAATCAGTGTTTCTCGAGGGAAGTAAATCTTGGTTCTTGCAGCAGTTCTGTGCACTGCAGTGGAACTAGTTAGCATTCCCGACCTGTGTGCATTCCGACTCTCTTCCTCACCATTACAATCAAGAGGTTGGAATCAGATTTGCCAATACCACTGTTAATTATGAGAGATTTAAAGTGGTACCATGTAAGGTGGAGCCATCTGGGTAACATCAGCCTGAGTACAGGCAACCAGAATCCAGGAAGGCACTACAAACCATCAGGCTTGCCCCTAGGAAATGCCTCAGCATAATTAATTATCAGGCAGCTCAGAGTGCCCTCAGATCAAGAATCAGCATCACATGCACAAATGTATCAGCCAGCTTTCCTGGTTCCAAGCCCAGAATGCATCTTACAGAGCCCACAGTTCCCATAGCCTCCTGGTATCATTTTGATTTAGGAGACAGTCTCTGGTGCAATCTCATGTACCTCTTAGCAAAGATAGGCTGCAACACTGAACCCCAAGGAACATGGCTGAGTGGGCAGAACTATTGTAGACATTTTCTGTCAATTCCCTCTTCCCATTGTCACACAAATGATCTTCCATGGCCTTTCTTTTTCTAGGTTTTACAGCAATCAGTGCTTGAGGTGGATGAAAGAGGAACCGAAGCAGTGACTGGGACACTGTCAGAGATTGTCGCTTACTCTATGCCTCCTGTCATCAAAGTGAACCGACCTTTTCATTTCATGATCTATGAGGAGATATCCAGGATGCTTCTGTTTCTGGGCAGGGTGGTGAACCCCACTGTCCTGTGACTCAGGCAGGTGTAAGCCTCAATCACAGCAGCTGCTTAGCCAGAGGTGTCTGAACCACAGGATGCTGGTGGTGAATGGTAAACCATGTGTCCTCTGCATCCAGCCAGTTTGTTGTGGCTGTTCTCTGATCAACACAGAAATTAAAATGACGTCTGTGCAATGTGTCCGGCATTTTAAAACTTTCTCCTGAGAGCCTTTGCTGACTGACTGAAGACTAGGTAAGGACTCGACTTTGAGAGCAGTAGGTAGGTCAGCCACTGTGGGACAAAGTCTCTAGGGAATACATGGACATCCTCCTACAGGCATGCTTCTCACTCTATTTCTCTATCATGCAAAATCAGGGTTTTATTTTAGTTTATCCCAGAATTTCTCTATTTCTCTCTCTCTCTCTCTCTGTAGACTCTCTCTCTCTCTCTCTCTCTCTCTCTCTCTCTCTCCTCTGTCTCTGTCCCTCTCCTCTTTCCCTCTCCTTCCCATCCCTAACCCACCCACCGCCCACTCTCTGACAGGGCCCACAACATAGCTCTGGCTGGCCTGGAATTCTATGTAGACCAAGCTGGCCTTGAACTTGAAAAAAAATTCACCTGCCTCTGCCTCCTGAGTGCTAGGATTAAAAGTGTGTGCCACCATGGTCAGCATTTTTTATGTGTTGTAATATGTTTTAATTAATCACAGAATTCTTTCTTTTTTATTAAAATTAGCAGCAAATCCCCATACTCCACCCTAATCACAATGTCTGGCTCAACCACAGCCACTCATCTCCATGACACATCTAGTTACATATTTCCACCACAGCAACCACAGATCATGCAGTTCAGTGCTTTCATTTTACAAAGAAAACAAACATGTCAGAACCAGGGCTACATCCTGACTTTCATGAGTGACAGGCACCTTTTCCTCTGTGTGCTCCTTTCTTCATTAGAGTTTACATATAAATACATACACTAACAATGACCTTTTATAATTGCTTTGGTATAGCGATGAATACAGTCTCAATTATATTCATCATTTGCCAACAAAAAGTATATGTCTTGCTCATTGCTGATTAAGGAAATGTCTTCCAGAGCTTTTATCATGGTGGGGGTGGGGTGGGGGCATGGGGGATGACTATAGTGCCCACTGTGCATGATGAATATATCAAACCTAATATCTCAGTGGGAGGGAACATTTGCCCAAGGCCACTCAGTGTGACCTTGGTAAGCCAATCCTTCCTTCCTATTCTAGTCTCAAGTCCTTGTTACACCATCTTCTCTCTCTATTGTCTCAGGGACTGCTAAATAGTGGGCTGCCTTTGCCTCAGTCACCACTGCAGTTAAACAAAAGGAAGCATGGACTTTGTCCCAATATGAAAGGAAAATGAAAATACCTCTGAAGCATTCTTGGCCGGTCATTTTCTATCTTGTAGGAATGAAATAAGACAGTCCTTTGGGAGTAAATCAGAGGTTCCTGAATGGGGCTAACTAGTCTCAAATGTCAGCTGTGCTGACTAAATGCATCACTACATTTCTATCTGCTATCTGATATATAAACATACCTAACATGAATTTATTCATTAGTTACTCAATGACTGTATGTCAAGAGTAGCATGAACAGGAGGCAGTGTCAAAAGGCAGTCTAAACCAGACTTCCTCACCTCAGTCTTGACATTAACTCAACTCTGTAGGCATCCAGGCATTAATAGATGTTCAGTTAGGACCAGAAAACTCTAGGGCCTAGGAAGAGAGACAAGAGAGGATGGTTCTAACTGGCATTTGTAGGTACTTGTGTTCAGTTATTTGGGTGTGCTTTTGGGGAAATAATAGGAAGAGAAATTTAATTTTTTACAGATTTATTTTATGTATATGGATGTTTTGTCTGCATGTACATCTGTACACCAGAAGAGGACATTCTAGCCCAAGGACTGCAGTTATAGACAATTGTGGGCCATCATGTAAGTGCTGGGAACTGAACTTGGGGCCAGAAAGAGGAATTTTAAGAGAGGGTTCTGGCTCTTTTCTCACTTGGAAAGATGAAATCTAGACAAGGAACCCTATGGTTATACCACACAGGAATAAACATGGCCAAAGCCAGTGACAGGCAGGCCAGCGCTGCAGATGGAGCAGAGCACTGCCAACACACCTAGTTAAAGAAGATTAGGTCTTCTGATAAAATGAAGACATCAGTGAATGCTCCAATATGCCACCCATTTGCTTTTTAATCTTCCTGTATATTTGTTTCTGGGGTACAATTTGAACAAAGATTCAAAATTTTTAAAAGTTTTTAATGCTTGTGAAAAAATACTCCCAAAAGTAATTTTGAATAACTGCTTTAATTAAGAATTTAATGCCTAAGCAATTGACTTCCAACGTTATAAGCAGAAGTGACTAGTCTCTGTCAGATCACTTTCACCTTATCCCACATATAAAACAGGAATATAAAAAGCTTATGACTACTAAGTGTATTATTTAACAATCAAATTGAAACTCTCTATTTTATCTGAAGTAGACAGAGGCAATGCCGACTTTTTGAACCAGAGTACTGGAAAAAGTGATGCAGCCTTGATGCCCCCTTATGCACAATGAATTCTCCATACCACAATAGATTCAATTCTATACTACTAATGCTAGTAGGAGACATAAACTTATTAAACTCGATTTCCTTATGCAGGATGGTCAAGTTTCTCATGGCTACTAGACTCTCACTTCTGACCTGACTGTCCTTGATGAAGGGTGTTATTAAGTCCCTAAAGAGATCATGGGGAAGGGAAGGAATGACAAAGAATGAAGAAGCAATAAGCAACTGTCCCTGAGTCCTTTACAGTTGACACAAATATGCTCCACTTGCTCATTATGTAAAGATGAACTGCCTTCTCCTTATAGAGTAAGAACTGTAGGAAAGTATTTAAAACTTTTCTCACAAGTGCTGGTAGCTCATTAACCTCTGCTTTATTTTAAACAAGCTCATTATCCATTTCACATTATAAAAAGTAACCACGCACATGTATGCATTCACAAATTAGACCATCTTTATCGTACATCAATATATCTTTAAAAAAACAAGTATTTCTGATATCAATATAGGTATATGCTGATTGCATTTGAAATAGAGAAGCTGACAATAGCTTCATACATTCTATCTCAGGTACCGACATTTTAAAGTTAAGGACAATCTATGTTCCACAGGCAAATTTTGATGGAAGTATTAGCATTAGTACAAATGGGTGCTGTTGACGTAGCATGAGCATGATAGCTTGGAATAACAGCTGATTCAAAGTAGATTCATCATTTGAAATTAAGGACAGATACAATTCAAAATGTAAACAAAGCATTTATAAAAGAATTCTAGGAATTAAGGAAATCATCAATCTATCATTTTAAAGGTATTTTTGTAGCTAAAATTTTCATGAATCTTTTCAGATTTTCATGGCCGAATCTAGACTGGGGTCATCCAGGTGCTGACACTGTTGCAGAATCCCAGGACCCATGGAACCACAGACAGTGTTCAGTTTGAATTGTCTGCTCTGAGGAAATACAGTGCCGTCCTTACCTCCTGTGTCCTTGCCCATGTAGCTACCCAAGGAGCAGTCAGCTAATCCAGACTGCTATGGAATTTCTAAATGTACAACTTAGAGTAACCAACAGCCAGCTTCCCACAGAGATAGGCATGTCTTCCTGCAGTCTGAGTACACACCTCAAGTTGGAGCTCAATTGCACTACACTGGAACACTGGGATTCAGAGCCCACACTAAAACATGCCATACCTCCTAGGGAATCTAATTCCAAATAAGTTTCAGATCAGCTGCCTGGTGTTCCTTTGTCCCTTCCCCACTTAACAAGCCTGGCATCACTGGAGCTCTTTTCCACCGTCTCAGTCTCTGCTGACTGCTCGCCTCTGTCACCAAGCAGTTGACTTAAGGATTGGATTTTCTGGATTTTCTGATGAAGGAAAGAAATAAAGAAGAAGGAGAGAAGGGAGGGAAACAGGGAAGAAGAAAGAGACCAAGAAGAAAATGTAAAACAATTATCCATATAAAGTAAATAAATGTAAGTATGCTAATCTGGGTAAACCTACAATATGAGAACTCTGATAAAGAAGAAATGAATTACGCGCTTTAGATCATTCGGGATTACTGGTAATTATCAAAGACCATCCTGCGCATACCTACCAGCATCCCCTTCAATTTACACAGCTTTTCCTACACTTTCGATTTTGCATAGCCATTAAGGAAATTACACAGGTATATCAGCTGTCCAGCCCTAGAAGACACAAGCTATGCTGCACGCCTGTGCTTCCCTTATGACACACTGCTTGTCAGCACCAGAGCTGCCCTTTGGTAAAGCAGGTGAATGTCCTGCAAAGGATTTTTCTAAGAAGTAAAAACTGAGGTAATGCTTTCTGCAATCACTTTATAGGCTTATTTTAAATAAAGAGGACTTTTTTCTTTTCAATTTGGATATGACAGTCTCTAAATTGTTGATAATACTTCACTGGAAAAAGGCCAGTGTAGATACCAATTACCTATCCAACTAATGAGCATGTTAGAACCCTGTGTGGGAAGAGCCAGGTGCTGCACAGCCAGACATATGTGAAGAAGGGGCTGTAGATGCTTGCAAGCCTTCCTTCAGACCACTTGGAAAAGGTACAAACTCTGTATGAGTTCTCACTGGTCTTTATTGTAGATTCATTTTGGTAACCATCAGTTATACCAGAAAATAGGGAATTCATTCTGCAAAAAGGAAAGATGTGCACAGCAATGAAAGAACACATAAAGTATCTGGAATAAAGGAAAGTACCATGAAATATTGGTTCAGCAGTCTTTCCTTCAAAAACAAAACTAGTTACAATGATGCTACCATGTTCCTCAGGACAAGTTCAGGGCAGTAGAAGAAGAGGGTCTGTGGTGAGAGAGAAAGATCTCAGGATATGGAACTGAGAGACCCCTTAAATGAGCTATGGGCCAGATTTGCTGTTTGACAGATATGCAGAAGCCCCAGAGCCCTGCAGGCTCACCAATGCACGGTGGCTTTGCTCATACTGGAGTGGGTACATGGTTCTAGCCCAGAGTGCTGCAGACCACCAACTCATGCCACCTCTGCCCCAATGGCTCCTAAACAGCACTAGGCTTTCTGTAGAAAGAACACCCTTCAAGTTGGCATCACTAGTCTGCAATATCTGAATCACCTGTTGCTATGATTATTTTTGGAGCATTTAGTACCACATTCTGAGCTCCATTAAATATCTTTATTTTTGAATTCTGAATGAAATGGTGTACACAAATTTCTAATGTACATATCAAGTGGCCTCAGAATTTAAAATGAATTATAATACAACCAGCTCCTAAAAGGAACTCAAGCCAGCCAGAGGAGAGTTTCCATAGAAAGATGCAGATGAAAAACTTTATTCAAAAATGTGAGCTAAGCATAGTGAGGTATACCTGTAATCTCAGCATTTGGGAGGCTGTGGCAAGACCAGAGTTCTAGACCAGAGTAGGCTACATGGTCTCAAAACAGAAAGGAAGGAAGGAAAGAAAGAAAGAAAGAAGGAAGGAAGGAAGGAAGGAAGGAAGGAAGGAAAGAAGGAAGGAAGGAAAGAAGGAAGGAAAGGAGGAAAAGAAAGAGAAGGGAGAATCCCATGAATTTAGTGATGTATGCTCAAGAGGAAATCTGAATCTTGCTAAGTTTTACTGTGATTTGAACAGCTGCTCTGTATGAGAGAACAAAGCTGTAGCTATAATAGTTTGGTCATACTTGCAGTGTTACTGTGATAATTTTTAGGGCATCATTCTTTTAAGGGTTCAAAAGAAACAAATTTAAACAAGAAGGAAACAGCACACAAAAAGGAACCATGGGGGCGGGTAACAGGCCCTTTATAACTTTAATTCAAAGTACAAGTGTCTACAAGTATGTTCAGCTACTAAGCCCACACTCTGGGTCCCATGCTGTTGTGGTACTTCAAAGTGGCATCAGCTGTAGCCACCTTTCTGAATGTCAGGTGATCAGACACTAGTTAGGTATTTAGATACCTAGTAGTCAATGCCATTGTCGTATGTTACTATCAGATATCTCATACACATGACCATAGTCAAGGCTCTCACATAACTACCTTCATCCTACAACATTCCCTCATTAGAGACATGTTCAGTTCTTTGAAGTGTGGAGGTGGGGAGGAAGGTGCCCTGAGCCCAACAGCACACTCAGCAGTGGAAACAGTACTCACAAGGTAGCCTTCCGAGGCGGTGCATCTTTACTTCCACTACTCTTTGCATCAGCTGTGTTACCTGTCCCACGGGAAGTACTGGGCAAGACGGGATTAGGAGAAAAGGAAGCTGGAAGGCTACTGGCATTTCGAGTCCGGAATGAGTCATCTGGAAGTCACATGTGGAGAGGCAGAGGTGTTGATACTCAGAAAGATGTTTACCAAGGAGAGAAGACTCCAGACGGTGGGCTTTTTCCTCTTATAATTTATATACTGATTAAGATTAGACATGTGTATAATCCACTGCCATTACCACAATCAAGACATTAAAACATGCTATCACAAATGCCCCTCAGGCCCTTCATAACCCCTCCTTTTCTACCTCCTCTTTCTACAAACCACCAGTGTTCCCCTAGTTAAAGATTAGTCTGCATTTTCTAGGATTTTTACATAAAAAGAATATGCTGTCAATTTTTTATATGATCAATTTTTTCATAGTTTTCATATAACTAAAATTCATCTGTATTTGCACTTCATAACTAGTGTTGTATAGATGGGCTAACATTTGTTCTAAATGTTCACTTACAGGCATTTTCTTGATTCTAGTTCTTGACTGTAATAAATAAAACTGCTATGAGCATTTGCATAGAAATCTGTATGTGGCTGTGTTTTAGTATTTTTCAGTAAGTGCTTAGGAATAGATGTGCTGGGTTTTTCTAGTGTGTTTAACTTCCGATGACATTGTCAAAGCATTGTCTGGCTCCTTTCTCCTTTTCTCTCCTTGAAATTAATATTATAAGCGTTTGATTTTCAGACATGGTATGAGCAACAAGCAGTACAGCACTGTCCCCATAGCTACTGCTTTGTTTTGTTTTGATACAGGGTCTCCTACAGTCCAGGATGCATCAGTATTGCATGCAGCCAAAGATGAATTTGAACTCCTGATCCTCCTGCCTCCAACTCTCAAGTGCTAGGATTATAGACATACATGGCTCTGCTCCACTTTCTCACCGTTTTTTAATTGTACTTCCCTAATGATTGGTGATGCAAAGCAACTTTTCATGCACTTACACCTTTATCTTCTTTATCTTATTTAAAATTTCATGTTCAAATCTTTTGTCCATTTTAAGCGAAGCTGCCTGTCTTAGACTTCTCTGAACATTCTTGACACAAGTTCTTTAAATAAGATATACTATGCATATTTTCTCCTAATCCGAGTCTTGTCTTGCATTTTTCTATGACTCCATCTCAAAGCCCAGAGTTTTAAATTCTGACACAATATAGTATGTCACTCCTTTTCTGCTGTGGTTAATATAAATATCTATCTGCTCCAAAATTATAGACTTCCTTCCATATCTTCTTTTAAAAATTATAATTTTACCTTTTGTGTTTAAGTTTACATTTTGAGTTAATGATTTCTATATAATGTCAGATATTAATTGAGGGTGAAGTTCCAGTTGGTCTAGTGCTACTTTTTAATGTACCACAAGATATGGTGATGACATCATTAAACAAATCCCATGATCAAAGCACTTCTGGTTTCTAGTGATAATCCTGATCTACCATGTTGTTTGTTGCTGTGTGTGTGGATATCAATGCTTTAATTATTGAAAGATATTCTGTTCTGGATATGAAAACACTATTACAAACTATCTGGTATGTATACATATTTTTTCATGAAAATAAAATGAACATAGTAAAAAGGAAGATGAAATACTCAAAATAAAACTTAAAAATAAAAGGTAACTAAACTTAAAATTTCAGGCCCTCTGAAATTAAGGGTCACATTTATTTTAATATTTATCAATCAATATTATAGCCCTCAACCAATATTTCCAATATACAAAATTAGAAATATATATCCAGTCACAAGTAATTTTTAGAAATATATCCTAGCCTTTTCTATGAATAATTCTGTCTTATTCTATAAAATCCACAAGTAAGCAAACTATAGATTGTGAAATAATTGGCTACCTGGGTGCTTTAAATGCTATGGAACACAGCCATGTTTATTCAGCATGCCATGCCTATGGCTGCTGTCATACTTAACAGCAGAGTAGAGTGACTATACCTAGCCCACAATGGCAAAACATTTACAAACTTGCTCTTAAGTAAATCTTCTGGCCCTCAGAACAAACTTTCAGGTACTAAAATGGTAAATGGATTCTGTTTTCAACTTCCTTACAAATTACTGGAAGTGTCTGTCCCTGCTTCAGGAGGCCCCTCGACCATAGTCAACTATCCTACTGTTAGTCCTTCCCCTCTCTTTAAAATTATCCTACCACTAGTCCTTCCCCTCTCTTTATAAGTGTTGAGCTCTGAGTCTTGACATAGTTTTTAAAAACAGTACATGGTCGAGTATTTCCTGAGCTGCTGAGTTACAGTAGCACTAAAAGCCCATTAAGAGAAAAATCATCACATCCTAGCCAAAAAGAATGGAATCTGCCTCTGGATGGAAACACACCATTGTTTGCTCCATTAGTGGTTAATCCAGTTGGGCAGACCAGTTATCTGACCAAGGGATCATCACTCAGGAAGCCATGCTTATAAGAGCTATGAAGAATAATTAGCCTTACATGAGATGATGTAGTTTTCCTCCCAGAATTTCGTCCCTGGGACCCCTCTGAGGTTCTGTTGGATCTACCCAACTTCCTGAGATCTCACTCAGACAGGCCTAACTTTTCTTTTTCCTTCTCTCCCATCTCTTCCTCTCAGATGCTGGCCAGAGCCCAAACACACTTTCTCTGGTACTTTGGACTTCTATAAAGCACCCCTCCCTACCGCATGGCTGCTTGTCTACCACCCTGCCTTAACTCAGATGGCATGGCTTCCTCTTTTTCTCTTCTTCGTTTCTATTCTCCTGGCAACTACCAAGATTTACAGCTTGTTCTGTTGCTTTTCTCTTACATTCTAATGGAACTATCCTCAAGTTTCATGTCTGTTTATAAATTCTTTTACTAAGGAGACTAAGAACCCCAAAAGGGAATCTTAATTTCCCCAGTGACAGGAAAAGTTTATTGCTTAAAGACTTGATGAGGATATACATTTAAGAAAGACATCATGGGGCTGGAGAAATGACTCAGAGGTTAAAAAGCACTTCCAGAGGACCTGGGTTCAATTCCGAGCACTCACATGGCAGCCCACAACTGTAACTCCAGTTCCAGGGGATCTGACACCCTCACACAGACATATATGCAGACAAAACGCTAATGCACATAAAAATAAATTGAAAAATAAAAACACTATATCTAGAGTTAGAAGGATGTATTTTTTAAAGAAAATATTTCATTAAAGTAGCTATTTTTGGAAGAGTGTACGCTGCTGCTTACCAGTTAGTGAAAGCATGGCAGTCCTCACCAACCCTGAGACAGAAGGTGTGTGAGATAAGCTGGAGCTTTTACTAGAAAAGAAAGTGATGGAGTTAGGACCTAAAACCACACTTTTCAGTCTTAGCTACCTAACACTTGGGGGTTTTCACCTTGTTTGTAAATGCTTCCTTCAACTTCCTATGAGAAACATGCCTCTTGCATTTATTATTTTTTATATTCCATGCTTCCAAATACATACTTTCTCATAAATGATGGGTAGATTCTATGAGATTTTCATATACTGTCATGGTAATAGTCTTCCTACAGTGCAAAGATTCCTATTTTTATACAAATAGCAAGTACCTTTTATTTTTAGTGTGATAATCTTTACAGAAGAAATTGACAAATTGTCAGCCCATAAAAGAATACAAAATTAATTCTGATTATAATGATGCAAATATTCTGTGTAGTTAGATGGGGTGACCACAAAATAAAAACTCCAGTCAAGAATGAACAGTTGACAGCACATACCTAGTACACTTGTCTAAGTTACCATATTTTGCATGAAAAGCTTGATTATTAAAAGATTGGCTTCGAATCAATTTGGATTTCTTGATTTCTTTGCCTAAAGCAGAACAAAGAAAAATACAACTCTCAGTTCCTCCTTAACCATTCCAACCCCCAAGTCTTCCTTAGACCCCACCATGTCTGAAAAAACCCAGATGGGTAAAGTTTCCACTCTTCAGTCTGAGCTAACTTCAGTAACTCTCATTCAAACCACCCATGAAGAATAATGGAAAAACTACCTGGAAAAGCTACCGACATACTCAAAGTAAGAAAGTGTAATAGCCTGACAGGGATGAAGATCTCCACACAGATAACTCTGCCCCATCCTTTGGCCATCAGAATATTGAAACAGTAGGCCTCAAGAAATGCCCCCAGGAATTTCATGCAGGAAGAATAAAGAGGCCAAATTCCTGGACAAGAGATTTACAATCTGCCAGGTCACCTGACAGAGGAGATAATGAATCAATGGCAGAGAGGACTACATGCTGACCTTGGATGCTCAGATATACATAACTTTACCCTCTAATTAAACTTTAACCTCATAACAGGACCCTGAAAATGGACTTAGCAGTGAGGGAAGTGGGATGTCACTAGATCTTTGTCCCTCTTCCCAGTGTAGCCACACTGAAACATTTTTTGTTTTCATTATTAAAAATTAAATGGATACTCCAGAAATCACATATCTCATCTAACAGCAAATAAACCTGCAATTTGTCTTTGAAAGCATTATATGAATCATAAAACAGAATGAATCCTTACTTGTTGATGGAGTGTTAGAAGATGGTCCAGGAACAGAAACAGGGATGTTCTTGGGCAGGCTTTGTGTTGGTGTCCTAGACTCTCTGCCTAAAATAAACTCTGGTTTAAGTTGTGTACTTTCATCTGACTCCTGTGAAATTCACTATCCTTATTACATCAGCACTATTTCCCAAATATTCTTACTTTATATATTTCAGCTATTGAATTTCAACTCAACATCCAACATTAAGCTTCCCTTCCAGTGGCTCTGAGCCTCACACTTTTGCCTCCCTTTTATGTACTCCTAATACCTATACCACATTAGTCAGCCAATTTTCAAAAATAAATGTTTTCTTTAATGCAAAAGGTAGTTAGGTAGTTTTCCTTACCAAATTAAAGCTCCACACAGTATTTCAGGATACAAAGATAAAAAGTTACTGTAGCATTGGTGGCCCAAAGGTCAAAAGAATGTAATCTAACTGTGGGTGGAGCCTGTGTCTGCTCCCTTAAGAGTTAATCCAGTTAGGCTGGTCAAAAACCTGGCTAAGGGACCATCATGCTTCAAGGAGGTGGCTTTGCCTTGTTAAAGAGAAGGGAGGAATAACGATCCCTTTAGTGACTTACTTTCCTTCCCAGAACTCCTGGCTTCTGTGCAGCTCCTTACAGAGAGCTGCAGGCACACAGCTTCACAGGTTTGCTTTGCTCAGCATGCTTCCCTAATGCTTTGGGCTTCACTCTCTCCAAAGCTCCCCTCCCCACCACATACCTTCCTGTCCCCCATTCCTGCTTAACTCTTTCTCTCTCTCTTCTCCGTCCCACTCCTCCAGGAAGCTACCTAGATGAACAGCTTGCCTACTCCAAGGTTTTTCTTTTAAAACCAATCAAGTTGTTCTTGAGCTTCCCTTCACATGTATCTTTAAATTCCTGTATTAACAAGACTCAAGAAGGGACCTGGATTTCCCCAGTCACCCAGCATTAATCCTGGAACAGAGAGGAAATAGACAGAACCACTTACGTTTCTTCTCAAAGCTTTTCTCACTGGAGGACCTCCCATCGTTCTGATGTTTCTCCTTCTCTAGCTGTTCCTGTTGGGACACAGAGTCATGTTACAGGTGCAGCTTGGGAGCTTGTTCTGAGGAAAATGACTCTCAGCTTAAGGACACAAATATACCTCACAAAAATGCCTTTAAAAAACGGGGCTCCCCTGTGGTACAGAATTCAGAGGTGTGCTGTTGTTGCTATTTTAATGTGTGGTATGTCATATCACAGAATATTGCTCTTGGGAGTTTTTCCAACTAAAACAATGACTTTGGCATTACTCTACAATGAGCATTTATTGGTTCTCATCAACAGAGCATGTGTTTAACCATGGTTATTTCAATTCCTATTTATCGAACAACAAAATATCTTTCTTTAAAAAGACTTCAAGGCCTTCGAGGGGCTATAGTGGGGCACACCTTTAATCCCAGCACTCAGGAGACAGAGGCAGGTGCATCTCCATAAATTCAAAGCCAGCCTGCCCTACAGAGCAAGTTCCAGGACAGTTAGGGCTATACAGAGAAACCCTGTCTCAAAAAGCAAAATAAAAAAACAAACAAAAGACTGAGAGGAAAGGGAAAAGTCTACCAAACATATTTAAGATATCTTATTGAAGCAAGATATAGAGAGAAAACTTAAGACTCTGAACTAACAACCTCAGAAAAACAACATTTCCACACCAAAGGTTCTGAAAGGCTGACTGACCATCAGCTTGTGATTTTGGAGAGAGTGGAATATTGCCAACAAAATCAAACTAGCCTGGCCTGGCTTTAGTCCTTTAAACAGGCAGCCACTGCCCACTGCTGTATTTGCAGTAGGCAGTGGATAGAACTTTCAAAAGACTGTTAAATACACCAAGAGAAGACAGTGTTCAAGAAAATATTCACAACACGAGAGCATGTGACAAAAGAGCTCTTAATAAGAATGTGAACAACCTACTCTAAATTTTCAAAATGGACTTTATAGAAAACATGATAGTATGGCCAATAAGCAAACAAAAGGATGCTTAGTATCTTTGACACCAGGGATATTTAAAGCCACAGAGTTCTAGAAAACATGATCATGCTCTTGCTAGAAACTAACTCAATGGATGCTGAGGACAGATGTCAAGGGTAGGTGGGAATATATCGTCTAGACTGGATACATGTGAATAAATACATACTAGTTTCACTTAAGAAACTCATTTTCCTAACAATCTCAAATGTAATTTTTCTTCCAATTTATAAAAGATAAAACTTCAGAAAATCAAGACTTTTCTTCAGTCTTTTAGGAAATATGGAACAATGTAAAGCTGAAATAAATTAGCTTTAGGTTTACTATCAAAGCCCATCTAAAACTAATCAGAAAGGAGTATGTGGGTGGGAACAACATACCATTTCCAAAAAGAGCAGTTCTTCTCTTTCTTTCTCTTGATCCAACAAATCTTTCTCATAATTTTTTTTCTGAAACTGTTTAAAATTTAAAACAACATTGTCAATCATTAGGGACAACTTCTTGATGACTATAAATATCTCTTTACTATAAAGTAGAGTGTACTTACCGCATCCATAGACATTTCCATTCTGTCCAACTCTAATACTGTCTACAAGGAAAGTTTTTAGAAATTACAGTTGGTTCAACAGTAATGAAACACAATCAGCCAAGTATTTCTAAAAGAAACTCCTTCCCCAGGGGTATTCAAAGAGAACACTTTTTGCTTTGGTATTAATAAGCTAATCTTTCACCACCAATAAATGTTCAAAAACTGTGTTCCAAAGTCACACCCACATGTTAAGTCAGTTCTTGAAAGCTGAAGCATTTTAAGGTTTGATGTCACTAACCCAAATTTTTTACTTAGTTTTTCAACATTTCCACACAATCCACAAAACAGATCCTCATGCTAGAGCAAAATCATATGGCATAAAGTTTGAATGTTTAGAAAGAGATGTACTTGGGTGATGCCAGATCTCCATGATGCTGGCCCTACCACCTATTAGTATGTTCTCCAGCAGCCAGTGTTTCTAGCTCTAGTTCCTTTACAAAGTCAAACAGACTACTGGATTCACTCTGAGGGAGTCTTCCCACACTCTTCTAGAAAATATGACTTCCGGAATTTTATTGCCATGCAAACACTTAGAAATAAAATCTAGTGAATTAGTCATCATTTGAGCCAGGCTCACAAATACCTCAAAGGTGCTCAGCTCTCCCACAAGCTCATACTGCTAATAACAAAAATGCCCCTTAAAAAATGCCCTCTGTCATTTATTAGTTCTTACCACACTTGCAGATTGTTATCCTATCAAGCTTAAGTTAACACTGCCATACTGCAGGACACAGGTGTTATAAGCAGGAGGGACACTTACTTTTTTCACAATAGCCAGGACATCTTTATCTTTCTCTTGACACAGGAGTTTTCTCACACACATCTCTAATTGCTGAAGGAGATGCATGTCTGCAGGAATCTTCAGAGCTGATTTCACTTTGGGCAGCAGGTAGCAAAGTTTCATTCTGTATTTAGAGTGAGCTTAATAGTAACTAACAGTAATAGGAATGTGCAACTGAAAAAGTTCAGGCTTTAGAAAACTCAGAATTCAACTGCCCATGCAAAATATGTGTGCAGTGCCTACTATTTATAAGTCATTGTTATTCTGGATACCAGGACACAAAATTGAATCAAACCAACAAAATCCTCTTTGGGGGCTTGCATTCTAGTTTGGGGCATGGAAAACAGAATGCATATAAAGATAACATCTGCCAGAAACTGGTGAGTCAGTCTAGAAAGCAGTGTTAGAGAAATTAATAATGTTTTCAGTGAAAAGATGGTATTTAAGGAAAGACCTAGAAAATCAGGGAGCAAGACACTTGAGTGTCTGGAAAAGTATTATGGCCAATAGGGAAGGCTTGCCTAGTGATAGTCTGAATTAGTAAACTAGCCGTGGGGCAAAATATAGCAAAGATGAGCTTAGTAGGAGACCTGAGTAGTGACAAGGGGCCAGCTCATACTGGACCCTATTGGTCACTGTGCAGAGCCTGGCTTCTATTTCAAATGTAATAGGAATCATTGGAGGGCAGGAGCAGAGGAGTGAAGTGATCTGACTTAACTTTCCTAATTATCATCTACATTTTGAGACTAGACTGGTGGTTAAGGAGAGGAGGAAAGAGATGGAGACAACCCCAAACAAGAGCTAATGGTGCTTCGGGCCAGAAAGAGCAGCACGGGTTCCCAGAGAAGCCTGCTTTCTGCATGTCTTTTGTGAGTAGCAGAGTGGCCTCAGGGACTGCAGATGAGATGATGGAGAGAAGAGGGTTTAGGTTTAGGCCTGGGCAGTGGGAAGACAAACCAGTTGCTTAGTGAGATGCAGAACACTGCAGAAGGAAGAGATGCAGACAAAGCAGACCCACTGAATGCTAGACAGATTAAGTATGGAATGCCTATTACATAGTCTATGGGAATTATAAATCTGCAGCCCGTTCAGTAAACCTGCTGTACATGTGGGTGTCCTTGCAAGAGATAGGTCAGGAATGCATGAAAATGATAGTTTAGGCATGGGAATGGAGAGATCACAAGCATAAAGGCAGTGAGAGAAGAATCAAAATGGGAACCATGCTAAGGCACTACCACTCTCTAGATCAGCTGAGAAAAGAAGAAACAAGGTGGCTACGGAATTCCAGGGAGGTGAGCAGAGATGTAAGAGACTGAAGAAAGCCTTCCCAGAAGGTTGCCAATGAGATGTTCTGCTTTGTTAAACTCCAACTCTCCCTCTTTTTAGGCTAGTTCTGGGGAGAGATGCTAGGCAGTTGTCTATCTTAAAGCTGCTGGATTCATTTATTCATCATGGGTTCTCCATGTTAATGCTCTGTATTTCTTTGGCAAATCTTGAGGCAGCTAAGTCTCATTACAGGGATTTCCAGGATCCAGTCTCAATGTTCAACCGAGAGCTTCTTCTACATAGTAGCCCTTGCTTCTGTGCATCTGAAAGGTGAATAAGTTCCTCTATGGGATTCTCATCACTGTACCAATGGTCTCCATCTCAATCATTGCTCAGCACAGATACTGGGGACATTGTAACTAAGAACCCTCAAATCCCCTTCAGAGAAATTACTGCAACTCTGGCCACTGAGGTGAAGGCTCCTCTGAATACCAATAGGATTTCCCTAGCCTTGATGGTGTCTAAACTCAGTAAATTAAATGTTAAAACATTCATGTAGAGAAATACACAAAACATAATTCACTCTTTATTACCTAAAGGATATCTGGAAAGCATTTTGATTCATGAACCCACAAAATCATACAGTTCTTGAAAATAAGGACTATGGCTTTTAGTAAGAAATACTTTTTTAAGGATCTTATCATATTAATAATAATTACTCAGCCAGCCTCTCAGGCTGGTTTTGACTCGTGCTTGCTCAAGTCAATAAGACAAAAGATCTGAGATGTCAGTTAAGAGACTGAGATTTTTATTCCAAGACTATTACCAATCAGCCTATAAAGCCAACTAAGATGCCCATCAACAGACAACTGGTAAAGAAAAGGTGGTATATAAACACAGTTCTAACAAAGAATGAAACTCTGCTGCAACACAAATGGAACAGGAAGGGGGTCACATATAGTGAAATAAGGTGTCACAAAGATAAGTACTGCATGTTCCTGCTAAGATAAGGAAGCTGAAAAGGTGAATAGCAGAATGATGGCCATGAACAAGTAGAAGGGTAGAAGGAAGGAAAGTAGGAAGGAGGTAGGCAATGGGTACCAAAGTTCAGTTAATATATGAGGAATATCTTGTAGCCTGTGCAATATAATAGGTAACTACAGTTCACAGCAACTCATTATATATTTTATAAATAACTAGATGACCAGTCTGGAGGCTCTGGGTACATAGAAATGACAAATATTTAAGGAAATGAAAATGCTAACTACCCTGGCTTTATTACTACATCTAATATTCATATATTAAAGTATCATGCTGTATCCCATAAATGTGTGACTGTTGGGTCAACCTTCAAAAACAACTACTAAGACTCTGAAAGCAAGCATCAATTCCTCACTTGGCTTAATTAACTAAGAAAAAAGAGTTTGCAAACATTTACCACAAAAGGACATATGAAAAATGCAACATATTTCAAACCTTGCAGAGCAATACATACCTCACATTTGCTACTGGGTCATGGGTTAGTTCAATAACAGGTAGAAAGAAATATTTGCAGAAAAATGATTTGGAAAATATCTCTATGATAAATTCACAGGTATCCAAGAATCGAAGTCTATTCCAATAACTCTTTCCTTGACCCAACTCTACAAACAACAAAAATACCATAATGTGGTGATATATTGTTATTGATATAATAAAGTCACTGAAGATCAGAATGCAAAGCTAGCCACAACCATAGAAGTTGGGCAGTGGTGACTAACACCTTTAATCCCAGGACTCAGGAGACAGAGGCAGATGGATTTCTGTGAGTTCAAGGCCACCCAGGACTACATGAGAGTGAATCTAAAAGAGAAACAGGGCTCATGTCTTTAATCCCTTTTATCCCTAAAGAGGTATATAAGATAGGAGCAGGGTCTTGAATTCTGGCACTCATTCCCCAGCCACATTGAGGACAGGAAGGCAATTAGTCTCCAGTCTGGACAATTAGTCTCCAGCCACGTTGAAGACTGGATCCCTCCCCCAACCTTGGTAGAGGTAAGCGCTCTCTGGTGGCTTGACTGCTTTGCTTTTCTAGTCTTCAGCTTGAGCCCCAATATCTGTTACACCATAACCTAATTTTCCCTACATGAAATTATATATTACAAAGCTCAACACCAAAAGTTTAAGCAAAGTTTTATTCTACCTGCAATTTACTTAACAAAGACAAGAGAAAAATATTCATTACATACTCTAGATTTTCAGACTACAATATTTATACATCAAAAATTAGGAAAGGGTTTTAATAAACTTTGAAGACTGGATGACTAGAGAGAGTAACTATGTTTGACCATTGCCTGGATGCTGAGTACCCTGTAGACAGTATCTTATTGAAACCTGGAAAACAATATGAGTGGATATACACACTCAAACCAATTCAAAGGCAGTCTGCAAAACCTCCCAATCATTTCAAACTAAATTAATTGTTCTCTTTTTGTTTCCTTAAAGGTGTCTGAAGTGGATAAAGTCATATGCGAACACAATTACTGATAGTACTTTAGGTCAGGATTTAAAGAATAATTCATTTTTATATAAATGTGCAAAGGTTAAGTTCTTAATACTTAAAACCAAACAGAAGCTTTAAAAATGAGACTTATTCTAAATTTAAGTTCCTACTACTGCAAAATGAAAACAGAATTAAAACAGACCATAAAATGAAAAATCAAAATATACTGAGCATAATTTTTCTTAAGTAGAATTTTACAAAAGTACTTTTTTCTCCTAAAAAGTGGTGGTTCGTGATTAGTATGGTGAATCCTAATAGTCAGTAAATCCTCTTCCTTGTCTGTGTTAGATAACAGTTCTATTAAAAATATTTCAGCACAATTGTCATCAAAGCAAGTGTTCAATGGCTAATAACCTCACTAAAGTGTATATATTTGCCACTAGAATTAACAACTTAAAAGATTTTTGCCATAATTTTTAGTCCTTAACAAATCACAATAAATTTGCATGTGTTAACCTTGTTCCTAAATACAGTCAAATCAGCACAGCTCACTAGATTCACACTAATATTTGCTGTCAACAGCATTCAAGAAAGAATTGTAAGCCCACATTTTGTCCATTCAATTAATATTGAAAGCAACATTATAAAATAAATTACTAGATTTAAAAAGTATTCTATTCATGCTTTAGTTCCAAATGCTATTTCATCAAGATAGAAATTAGCCTTTCAACATACATTTATGTATTTGAATTTCTCAAGTGTGGGAATTCACAAAAGAAAGTTCGGATTAAATACTATTTTCCTCTATGAAAATTTTGATTGTTACATAAAGATTTCCAAAATAAGCACAAATTAACTTACAAAATTAAACTAAAAGCATGCATGAAATATTTACCACCAGCAGCCTATTTTATCTTCAGACAGTGACATACAATGCATTGTAGATGTAATTAAGGTCAACTACTTCAAAAACTTTTCCCCAAAATTACTTACGTTCAATTAATTTTTGAATGACTTCATGCCTCTGCTCTTGTTTGCGATTATAGCGTAGAAAAATGCATAGAGTTCGTGCAGCTGCTCTTTGGACAGGTAAGACATTCTTAAAGAAATAAAACAGGAAAGATAATTACACTATGCCAAGATATGTTCTCAACAAGTAGTCCCCACCAAATCAATTAGCTATTGTTATTCATGTTCGCTAATATAGAAGTGTTTGCCATCTTTCAAAGCCTGACTCACACCCTTCTGGAGGGATGTCTGTTACCTAATGTAATGTCACTTGGGAAAATAAGGTGTCCTGTCCCAAGCTAATTCAATCTCATAGTCACACCCAAAGAATCAGTGTTCGACTGCCATTTCTTACCACTTCATCTGAAAAAACACGTTCCTCAGCTACCCATCCTTTCATGCAGCACAGTACTAACCATTTCTATACATTCTGCAAACATTTGGGGAAAATACCATGTGCCGTCACCAAAACTGTGCCACTTCTAAAGCAGAAATTTGAGATCCCATGTTCAGATACACTGTTGAAGAATTTGGGGGTTGGTATGATTACCAAGGCTGGAAACTAAATATCTAAGCCCAGCAGGTACAACGCCATCCAGGGCTGAGGAATTCTCAATTTCCCATGCCTACACAAAAGATGTAACGTTTGTCAGTGTGGAGGTAAAGGTTCCAGAACTGTACATAAGGTGTTAATATTGGGGAGTGCTGCCAAGAAGAGCAAAAGAACCAGCTGATGGGTAGCATTACTAGTATTCCAAACCCTCTGTCCTTCAGATTCTCAACACACCACTATACGGCGGAGCCTTGATTCTGAATGAATTCAACCAGTTACCTTTACTGGAAATTAAAGAAAAGTCTCTAAACCAGATATACTGTGTCAATTATAAATTCATGTTCACCAACATGACTTACTCTTCAATATTATAATATTCCACCACCCAAAACCCAGATTACTATAGTGGGAATCTCTGGCATGCAGTGGACTACAGCTGTGTAGTGTAGACAGTGGCACTGGTTGTGCCCTCTTCCATCTACACAAGAGTCCATTCAACTGAGCACTGTGCTATGTGATATTGTTAACTGTTGGATACAAAGGGACAGTATCTACTGTGGTTTAGAACTGAAAATTTAGTATGTGTATATAAGCAGAAATATAACAGAGCTTAAATAAATTTCAGACAGTGAACTAACTAAAAACCTCTTCTTTCATTTGATTTAGTATGACAGAATTTCAAATACATATATATGATAAATTAATATATACTGTTTATACCTCATGTAATATGTCTTATAATAGAAGGCAAATATTCATTTGGGACAGAATTCAATGATAAGTGTCCCAGAACAGTGACTATGAGTTGTCCTTTGACTTTTACACATGTGTTATGGTATCTGTGTGCCCTCATACATACAAACATGCACACACAGAAAACAAATAAATAAATACAAAAGTAAACAATCAGTTATTCTTGTCAAATCACTTTTTAAGATGATTGTATCTACAGAACAATCTTAAATTCCTCAGATTTCCATTATGATGTGTGATGAATTTGTTGAGTGGTGGGTAAGTACTACTGTGCCTCTTACTTTCTTAAGTTGAAAACAATGCCAATAGTATTTTTCTTCTTTCTAAATCTTTAAAACTAAAACTTATTTTGAATTTGGAGATGACTTTTGAATTCCTCATTTCCCTTTTATGAAATGAAAAGTTAAGGTACTTCAGTTCAGATTGCAAAGTAGAAACATACGGAAAGTTTCTGTTTGTTTTTGACCTGCTACAGAGATTGAACCTAGGAGCTTATGCATGCTATTCAGGTACCCTATTGCTAAGCTAAATTCCCCAGTAGTTGCAGCTTTTAAAATAAAACACTTTCTAATCTTTTTTTTAGGATGCCATTGTGCATGCACAGTGGACTGCAGGCTAAACAGTCCTTTCTGGAAGTATTGTAAAAGGTGGACAACTTTTCATACAGCTGTTTGGAGAGCAAGTTATTACTTCTTTTACTTGAATAGGCTCTCTACACTTAGGCATCCAAACTTACAGTGTAACTGTCCTTAGATCCTGTAAAAGACACAGTATGCACACTAGCAGGGACTGCTGGGAGTCGTGGGAATAAAGGCCTGGCAGATGTGAGATGCTGACAATGTGGGTACACTCAGAAGGAAGAGCAAAGCAGAGGTTCTTTTGCAGTTGACAATACTGAGTCCTGTCAACCTTTTTCTCCAGAAGTACTGGAACAAGTCTGAGGTAAAGGGCAGGAGATGCAGCTCAGTAGATTGAGTACTTGCCTAGCAGGCATGAAGCCCTGAGTTCAGTTCCCAACACCACATAAACTAAGTACAGTGCCACACACCTCTGATGCCAGCATTGGGGAGCTAGAGGTGATCAATGTCACCTTCAGCTATGTAATAAATCTGAGGACAGACTGGGCTTCCTGTGCACTGCTTCTGAAAACAACATGAAAGTGTAAGGTGAGTCCATCCACACTCCTCTGGCAGTGGACAAAGAGTATGTGTAAGATGAGTCCTGTTCAGCCATCCCTGAAGCCAATGGTGGGAGAGCAAAGGGTAAATCAGAGAAGCAGAGGAGTCTTGATTCCCCTGTGGAGATGCTGCCCTTCCAAGCCAATAGGAATTGAGGTTTGTGTATTGTGAAAAGGTGAAGAATTTGGTAATGACAAAATTATCCCAAGTTCAAAACAATCAGGGAAATTCAGGGCTCACATTTGTCATCATGATGGTGAACATTCTTTGCAAGAAACGGTAATAAATCTGGTCGCTTGATATGATATGAGGCAGACAGGAATATTTCTGTAGCAGCTTCTCATGGGTCCTCCACTTCAGAGAGGCGGCAGCTCGCTGCTCAGCAGCCGTGAGTGCGGGAATCAAGTCAGGCATAGAAGACAACTGGAAAGAAATACGAGGGTGATGGTGACTAAATCATCAACTGCAGCCTGTAATGTAAATACACACCAGGGAAGGACTTCAGGATTTAGAGCTATCTCAGCTGTCACCGGGAGATAGTTATCAGACAGACCAAATATTTTTAAAAAATTTATGGCACCAGGAAATGAAATCAGATGGAACCACTAGATATAGTAGCTGCAGAGGGCAGCTCATGCCAGCAGCTTTCACAGGCATAGGTATAGCTATAGAGCAGGTGCTATTTTATTTAGTTGCTTGTATATTTATTATAAAAACAGAGTTTAATGATTAGAAATACTGTATTTGAAAAGGCCTTTCTTTACAAGTTTTCAAATCCTCTACACACTCCATTGTGTCACCCATACAGCAGAAGCACAGGAAATAGTCTGAGGGGAAAGGAGTTGGTAACAGGGAAGATTGTGTTCCTACATCATTTCACCATCTGGGAAAATTTAAGGTGGGTGGTGCCTATGGTTTTTAGACCTTTAAATTCCTTAATAATAGGACAGAAATTGAGAGCTTAAGATGTTTCAAATTAATTATCAGTATCTCACAGTAATGCTTCCAGATATGGCTCAGAGCTAGGAATGTAACCTGTCCTTCCTGTCTATGGCATAACACTCACTCAAACTTGTTTATATACATTATTTTTAAGTTATGTGCATTGTGTAGTGATAGGAGATGGTGCACTTGAATGCAGTGCAAAAAAGGCCATAAGAAGGCATTGGATTCCTTTGGAGACAGGAGTTGTCTGTGATCATGAGGTACCCAATGATGGTGCTAGCATGGAAGCCAGGCCCTTTACAAGAGCAGTAGTGCTCGTAGCTGCTAAGCCATCTCTCTGGACTCCTGGTGTAAATTTTAAAGCCAGCTAGGGCTGTTCCTGAGTCCTGACAAATGCACAGAGGGTTGGACACTGGCCAGCACAAGGACAAGCACTTTTCTAAGGTTCCTCACACATTCTCTCAATGTCTCCTCACAACCACCTTGTACAATAAATAAGATGACAGACTTGGAACTTTTCTGAAAGATGAGATTTACCTTATTTTCTTGAACACTGCTTTCTCCACCAATAGACATGAGTTCCAAGATTTCTGGGAGGTGATTTATAAGAGCATCTAGTACCTTTTAAAGAGATATTGTGTTTATAATGGTTATTATCTGTCTTCTAAAATAGTTAACCCCACACTTCAGTTTATATACAGAAATATTTTTGACAAAACAACATTAGGGGTATTTCTGTTTAAAATAAATCATTGTAGCATCCATTTGTCTAAACTGTTACATCAGGTAACAACTTCAAGTTTCATGTGATGAGCTAAGTGCCCCCAGGTTAATAGTTATTTTGGTAAATAGAATGTGCCAAAAATAGCATCAGATGGAAGAATATCTGTCAACATCTTTACAAGTCTATGTACAAGGTAAAATACTCTCAAAACAGTGCTGAGCAAAAAATCCAAAATGTGATGTTATTACAAGTGTGAACAAAACCTATAGTAGAAAAATGTAGCATTAGAAAAAATGTAACAAAATATCAACAGTGATTTAATTAAAGGTTCTCTTTTGTCTACTTGTTGGCTCTTCCTAAGTTTCCTCAATAAACAATACACACTTCCATTTTCAAACCAGATTTCCTGGAAGTCCTCATTTGTAAGATCTTCCCAGGAATGCAGTGACTGATACAGTTTGGCTTAACATAAAAGAAGAAATACCAGAGTGGGAACTTATATTACCTCCAGTGATTCATCTTGTAATAATGTTATCAGTTCTTTGTGTATTAAATATACTCCAGAATTCAGAAGTTTAGAAACCTAAAATACAACAATAAAATCCCTCAGATTTGATACTATATAATGTTAAGGCACATATTTTTAAACTACATTCTTGTTAAATACTCCTTCTAAAAAGTTACAACATAAATATAAAATTAATTTCTAGTAAATTTAGTTGCATAGTTTTGTTTTCTAACAAGCTGGTATGTATGGCCACAGGACAAGATATGCATAAGTGGGGATCCTTTGATAAGATTACCCGTGCTGGAACTTCTGCACCAATCCATAATAACCCACCGGCTCCACTAATCCACACTTTGTATCTTAAAATGAAAGATTAACAAAGGAGATAAAGGAAACTAACATGCAGTCTTAGAGAAGACTGTATGGTAACGAAACTAAATGAATGAATAACCTACAGGATCCACTGGAAGTACATTCTGCCCTTTTCTCCTACAAAAGTGAGATTTTGTGGGTCAATTTGCAGATAAGATACAACTGTGTAACACTGGGATTACTTTAAATAACTGTATCATTGCAGTGGAATACTTTCTAGAGTTTGTACTATGATTTCATCCATGTCAGAAAAGTGTAATTTTTACATTTTTATTTCATTGCTATTCATTTTACACATGTTTGGGAGCGTGCATTGTGTGTGTATACTCATAGGTATGTGAGCACATGAAGTTGATATTAGGTATCTTTCTTGATCACTCTCCACTTTATATATCAAACTTTATATATTAAACCCAGGGCTCCAGATTCAGCTAGTTTAGCTAGCTAGCTTGCTCTGGAGATGCCATGCCTCTGCCTCCTGAGAGCGTGGATTACAGGCAGGCTGCTATGCCCACTAGATTTACATGGGATCTGAATTAATCCTCACACTTAGGCAAGCACTTTACCCACTGAGCTATCTCCCTGGCCCCAGAAAAGTGCTATTTTAGAGAAACAAAGAATATGACTCAACAGCTCAAAGAATCTTAAACATTTATAATGATGCTATGAATGTCTTTCATTCTCTCAGCTAATCTAGTGGTGCTTTGACATGGGAAGCAGTGCAAGGAAGATGGTGAAATATTCTTACTGGCAAGAAAATTTACTATACCATTTACAAGGAATGAAAAGATTTCATGTCAATTATAAAGAGGCTGTCATGTGACTATTTTGAATTGACAAGTTATAACTTAGATATTGTGATGGTTAATAAGGCTTGTCCATGAGACAGGATCTAGACTTACTCTAGCAAACTTCAACATTCATCTGTGAGGGATTTTTAGATTGGATTAGTTTAGGTAGGAAGACCCACACTGTCTTAGTTATCTTCAGTTGTCAACTTCCTCAACATAGAATCACCTGGGGAGAGGAACCTTACTTGAGGAATTGCCTAGATTAGACTAGAGCACTATCTTGATTGATAAGTGGATTTGTGAGGGCCCAGCCTGGAACTGTCTAAGAAAGCTAGCCAAGACAGCCATAGAGCAAGCCTAAAAAGCAGATTCCTCCATTGTTTCTGCTTTGAGCTTCTCCTTGAGTACTTGCCCTGACTTCCCTCAATGATGGGCTATGATATTGAAGTATAAGCCAAATAAACCCTTCTCTCCCACGAGTTGCTTTTGCTCCTGGTACTTATTAGAGCAACAGAGAAGCAAACTAGGATACACTCTAATTATGGGCAGCACCATCCCATGGCCTGAGATCCTGGACTAAATGAAAATGAGAGAGGGAGTTGAGAAGTAGCATTCGTTGCTCTCTGCTTCCTGACTGTGGATTCAGAGTGGCCAGCTGCTTTCTGCTCCCGCCACCATGCCTGCCCTCCATAGTGGACTGTGCCCCAGACCTGCAAGCTAAAGTAAAACTTTTCTTCTTAAGTTGCTTTTGTCATGTATTTTGTCACAGCAATGAGACAAGTAATGAACATATGCCTGGCAACTGTTACATACATGTGTTTTTTATTGTCATTTTCTGAGAAACAGGCCCTAATTTCAACTTCAAAGATGAAAAGTTAATTATGTTCATCATCAAAGTTTGTTTTACTTTTGTACATAATTTATGGAAAGTTGTACAGCTAAAGCTAAAAGCTATGCTCATAAAATTTCACTTACGGTAAAAGCAATAAATGTAAATAATTTGTTACTTAATTTTCCATTTACCCTAAAACTACTTAAACATAAGGGCAAAGTACAAATATGATAAAACACATAAATTATAGCTACCATAATATCTGCCTTAAAGTAAGTATTCAGTTTAAATATGCTGAAAAATAGGTTAATGAGTAAATGAATATAATGTATTTATGTAAATGGACTTGTAAACACACTAAAAAGCGAAGAGAAATATGGGAATTCAAAAATAAGACTTAAAACTATAACATGAAAGAGCTATGGAATCTCTATCTCATAACAAGTCTGTAAATACAGCATACAGAATATTAAAACAGCATCTAATACACACAGACAGAATCAACATGTGTACCGTCGAGTTCATTCTTAGACTTACTTCATAAAAGCAAATAGCAATAGTGTATCTGACTGGTACTTCAGGGTCATGACAAAGGCAGAAGAATGTAGAATAGAGTTCCATGTGGAAGTTTTTAGGATCAACAAAAACAATCATGGCCTAGTGGAGGTGAAAGGAGATGAATGCATCAATACCTAAGATAATCACCCTGCTAAAACTGAAATCAAGTCCTATTGAGCATATTCAATAAGAATACACTTGTAAAACCCAAATGCATGCACACAATTCTGATTATATACAGAAATATAAATCCCGATATTTGCGTAATACTTCCTATACATTGAGATAAGGTGCTAAACAGCAGGCGTTGGACATGTAAATATTTTAACACATTCTACTCCTATATTTTAATGACATAATCAACACACCCAGTAAATATAAACAAGTATTATACTACCGGAAAGTTGTAAGCACAGTTCTTTCGTACTGAAGTATATTTCTTCTCCTGCTCTATGATTTGGGATGGAATCTGGTTTTCATTGTGGCCATTTTCTTGTTGCAAACCCAATGTACAAAGTTTCTTATAAAATTCCAAAAATCTCAAGTGCTGATCTGGAGTGAAAATTCCTAAAACAAATGTAAAACCTGTGTTCAACATTTCAATTGCATACAAAACTTAAAAAAGAAACTTAAAGTATAATAAAACATGTTTAGAACAAAATATTTAAGCAAAATTGTTACAGATGGCTCAAAATTACAACAATGAGCAAAGAATTACTCTGAAGAAAGGTAATGGGTCAAATTTTTTTACCTTGTGCTCACTTTAATAATATTTTAATTTAAAAATAGAAACTACAGAAAACAAGAAACATGTCTATATTAGTTACACAGCTTGAAGAACTAAGATACCATCATGATTGTAATTATAATACTGCTATTTATTTATGATACATGTTTTAAAGTCTCTGCAAAAAGAATGCATGTGCATCTACAGAGAAGGAGCCCAAGAACCTAGCTTGGAGGAGGTCAAAATGATTAGATATACTGTTCATCCACAGAATGTTTCCATAATCAGCTCTCTCAGCACTAGGGATTTGTTGAATATTGTAAAACATTTTTCAATTACCAGATGTCCATATAAAGAATATTACTATACTAGATAAGAGCTTAACTCTTACATGGTTATAGTAAGCTAAGAATATGCTCAAATACCTCAACTCTTGGGTGTTACATTCTAAGTAACTATTCACATGCTACATTTATTATTTGAAAAATGGTTTTTAAAGTTATTCTTACTACACACCAAAAGTTAACATACCTGACCTTCTATTAGCACACTCCAATTTAAACATGCAAAATGCCAAGATATTCGAAGGGCTATGCTTATTTGACTCTTTCAAATAAGATATCATTGTGGAAATGTCATTTCTAAATGTGTTCTAAATTACATTACCATAAGACTTCACACACCTGAGAACAAGTGCTACAAGTAAAGAACTGAATGAAATGAGTAGGAGCAAAAGAGAAAAACCGCTAGTCTTGCAAGCCCTGTGTAACATACCATATAGTCCATGACATAGCTTTCCTAAATGAAAAGATAAAGAAATAAGAATCGATTCATCTGCTTTGAAAGATTTTTCACAGAATGATTTCACTAAGGGAAGTATAGTTTGACTTCTGTCATCTGAAAGACAAAACAAAACAATATATAGTTTAGAGTCAATTGCTCACATTACCACGTGAAAACTAATACATATATCCCCTCCAGAAGAAAATGTCTATGTTAGACTAACAATGATAGAAATATCTGATAACAGTAACAGGAAGAGGACTGGTGACAAGTTTGGGCTTCTAAGGTGCCACCAATGAATGAGGATAGGGTCATCACAATTAAAACAATAAGGTGACTGATGTCTTGAGTCTGAATAACCAGAAGCATTCTAACATTTTTAATTTAAGTAGACAGATGGCAGGCCCAGGAAACCTCCAATTCTCTCTTTCATTCATCCCATGCTACACTTAACTATTTTTTTTAATCAGGGTCAGCTTGAAATATAACCTGTCCTTTGATGATACCCCATGAGAGACCTCATCCTCCCTGGGGTTGAGGGGAGGTAGATGGGGACAGAGGAGGGACAGGAGAGAGAGGGAACTGGGATTGTTATGTAAAATAAGATTGTATTTAATTTAAATTAAAAAAGAAAAAAAAAGAAATGTAACCTGTCTACTTAATTTTGTGTTTTTACTTCTTTAGAGGTTTTAACCTCTTTAGAGGTTGAGCAAGTCTCTAAGTCATATGCTTCTGACAGATTAGCAATATTTAAGTCTCCCTTCCCAGTACTCTTAAAAACCCCACAGTTTGATTAAGTTATCAGTCGTGCATCAGTACCTAGGGGTAAGAAGCTGTAACAGGGGCAGGAATGTTACTGCTATTACAACTGCTATTACATCACAATTCAGGGCCTTATCTTCAGCTGTTATCAAATGAAAGGCATATAATATTGACTGCTTAGCAAAGCAAGCGTTATGCGATGGGGAGAAGTTTCACTAGATTAAGAATAATAAGTGATCTAACAAGTGGACATAGTTAAGTTCCAACAAACTTTAACAAAACACATAGGATTGATGGAGCTTCTAAGTAACCTCCCAAGCTCTCATATAAGAAATTTGAAAAGATAAAATAGAGGAAAATGTATTTGAACTGGACACTAAAAGAAGCCTAGAAGTCATGTAGGATAAAAATAGAGGAGGGGGTGAAAGAAAAGTAGAGGCAACAACAGGGAGAGGAAAGTTGACATGGAAGGCTAGAGATGGGCTGGAGTCAGCAACAGGAGGAAGAGCGGGAGGAAATGAAGGTCTGTGAAAACAGAGGCCAGAGCAGTGAAGCAGGGAAAACCCATTAATGCCAGTTCCAGTCTGAATCCTAGGGGTGCCCTCAATATTAGAGGCAAAAAGATTCATCCAATTATGTGCAGCATTGCTCCTGTATTTATCAAATTACTTCAATGATCATTCTGAAATATTTATACAAAATTATTGTCTATACCACAAAAATCTTCAGAGACCCTCCCAGTCCAGAAAAAATGTCAATAGTTCTAGTGAACCCAATCCTACAATTACACAACTGACTTTCATACCTCAGTCTTGACATTTAGCCCTCCAAATATTACGTTGTCATAGTGGCTAATATCCACTTGCCCAGAGCGAGGCCCCAGTCTAGGTCTAGGTCCACACTTGGTAGATCAGCTAGCTTCCTGCGGCTCAGTTTGCACAAGAACAAGAAACAACGTCTTTCACATCACCATTGAATTATCTACCCCAAATTTCTCCTCCCACAGCCAGATTTCTGGCATTATAATATTATTAAGAAAGAATTCATTTAGATGTTATAAGCATCTTACAATCAGGACTTAACATCAGTTAGTTGGGTGAGCTAAGGGCTACTTGTCAAGACAAATTCTTCAACTTCTATATATGTCAGTTAAGTTTTGAAGAGAGAAATGAGAAGTATGAAACATACAGCAGCACTAGATTCCAGGAGGGTTAGAGTAAAAGTATGGAAGGCATCAAGATGGAAGAATCATAAAACTCTAAACTCAACAAAAAATTCTGAATCAGTCTTTGCTCCTTATTAGTAATATGGGAAACAGTCTTTCAGAAATAAAGATCTCTGCACATGCAGTTTTACCTGTATCAAACATGTCAAGCATGTTCACCAAGGTTTCAAAAGCAGCAAGCCGCACACTGCCACTCTCATCCCCAGAGAGTTCTATTAATTCGGGGAGCACCACACTCTTTGTCAGTTCTGTCCTGCACAATAAGCAGTAGAAGAAAGTAAGTCAGACCAACAGCAAGAGTCCAGTGAAAACAAGTGATTATCCCAGATGGTCCCAGTGTCCCACGCTAGTCCCCAAGCATGCCATCTGGTTGGAAAAGCAGCCATAGTGTAAGAAATACAGGTTAGATATGGGAGGAGTCATGGGGGTTTGTGAGGGAATATAATTAAAACACTTCATGTGAAATTCTCAAAGAATTAAAAATATTTAAATAAATATTAATAATAATTTCATGATTAAATCAATTTTCATTTCACCTGTAAACTACTGTTAACTATAGAAATTTTAATGATTAGGACATTATATTAAGCTTTATAAATTATATCATTTTCAATTTTAAAGAAATTTCAAAAAGTGATCCAGCTAATTAAGAAAAAAGTTATTATAAGTATTGGTAGAAATTCAAGCAAAACCATTTGACCTAGATTTTGGGGCATATGTTATTTTTCTAATCATCTGAAACACAACATTATGATAGTTTCCACACAGAAGAATGACAGACAACACTGGATATTCAACATAAAACAATAAGGTATGAAAGATGCTTTTACAGAATAAACAACATTTAGAACATAGTCATAAGCAGCAAAAAGCCAGCACTTCATTCCTACTGATGACAAAGGTTCAGACTCAGATAATAGGGAGTCATAACATATTGTCAGCTTTCTTAGATACAATATGGAAGGCAGCATAAATTATACGTGGCGTATTTTATTGACAGAGTTTTTAACAAAAATAGCACAGGCAGGTGGATCTCTGAGAGTTCAAGGCCAGCATGGTCTTGTTCCATGCCAGTCAGGGCTGCACAGTGAGACCATCTCAAAAAAAAAAAAATGAACAAACGAATAAATCTCAAAAAACCACTAAAAACTGGGAGGGGTAGCACACACCTTTAATCCCAACACTGGGGAGGCACAGACAGGTGAGTCTCTGAGTTTTGGGCCAGTCTGGTCTGCTTAGTGAACTCCAGACCAGTGAAGGCTACACAGTGAGACCCTGTCAAAATAAATCAATAAAGCAAACCAAAAAAGCCTTCAACAGAAGATTGCTCCTTCAGTTTCCTCACACGGTCTTGAGCAAAATTTTCTCTTACGCTGTCTATAATTACTGCATTTGTTGTATGACAGACAGGGCATCAACAGGAACCTCAGCTGGACCTGTGAGGACAGGTCCTCCCCCACCACACAGCTAACAGCACACCTCTAAGCAAGTCATCTCTCTCTTCTGAACTCGGAGGGTGGCTGTGTACAACTATTCACTATGCATTTGAATTTTCTAGCCTATTTTAATTTTTTAAAAATTAATTGTAAGTTTATTTAAACTTTCATTCTCACAGCTTTTTCTTCTCAAGAATGTCACCTTGTTAAATCCTCTACCACATTGTATTAGTGTGAATTTAAATAATTTTAAGTGTTAAGGAGATAATTAATTTTCTCATTTCATTAGAGCCAAAAAGTTTTGGTGTTTGATTATTATAAGGAGTTAATGGGAACTTTAGGACATAGGGCATATTGGGAGTTTTCCAGACTCTGGAGACATGCCCTGGAAGCAGGAAGTCCCTTCTTCTCCACTTTTTGTTTCCTGGTGAAGAAATGATGGCCGTGTTCCACACACTCTCCACCATGATGTGCTGCCTTCCCAGAGACCCAACGGTTATGGGAAACCTTCAAATAACGACCCCAAATAACCTTTTTCTCCCCATTAGTTGCTACAGCATCTGTTACAGCAATGGAAAGCTGACTGACATGACTAGAAATAAGACACCATCACTTTTCAGTTGTCACACCATGAAGAATCCTATAGTCAGTCATATTTGTAAGAGGACAACAGGGATACTCAACAATAAATAAATATGCGTACATGGTCAAGAAATTGGTTCCTTAAATAGATTCTAACCTGCTGAAGTTGAGTATATTCTCTGCAATTTTGTTTTCATAAATTAATCCATAAAGAATAATCCTAAATTAATTTGGGGAAGACTAATTTGAAAATCCTTGCTGTGGTTGTTTGATTATGTTTGAATGCTTGGTCACCAGTTGGAACTGCTTGGGAAGAATTAGGAGATGTGGCCTTGTTAGAGAAGGTATGTCACCAGAGGTGGGCTTTGAAGTATAAAAAGGCCACACCAGGCCCAGTCTCTCTCTGCCTCTGGCTCTCTGTAAGTGTGTCTCTCTCCCTCCCTCTCTTACTCTCTCTGCCTGCTGCCTGTGGATCAGGATGTAAAGCTCTCAGCTACTGCTCCAGTGCCACACTTGTCTGCGTCCCACCATGACGACGATGAACTAACCCTCTGAAACTACAAGCAAGCCCCCAAGCAAATGCCTTCTTTTATAAGTTACCTTAGTCATGGTGTCACTTCACAGCAATAGAACCATAACTAAGAAACTTAGCCTTCCCACTTTTTAAACAGGAAAAAAAATGTCAGGTGGTTAAAAAAAAAGTAAACAAATAAATATTTCACATCTTTATAAAGTGAATAAGGCAGTAATACATTGTCCAGTCAAATTCTGATTCTGACTCATCAGGTTTGGGTGAGACTATTAACTATAGTCCACAGTAATCCAACAAGAGTAATGTAGCCTCAAAAGACTTATCAAAAATATTTCTGAGAGCAAAACAAAAGAACTGATTAGCAGACATAGCACAAAGTACATGACTATTCCCTGGGTCTGTTAGTGGCATCCTAAAGCTTTCCAAAGTCATCATTACTATAAGTTCACTGTCCTTATCTGTGAAAAACAGTAACAGATAAAATAAATGAAGGATCTACTAAAAATAGAAACTAGTGTTTCTCCACTAACTTCAAAATCCTTAAAACAAAAACCATTTCCCAAGATAATTTGTAGGTATTTCCTTTAATACTATACTTGTACCCTGACCTGGGAACTGTTTTTAAGCAGAGGGCAGACTGCCTGCCCTATGCTTCTGCTTCCTGAACAGTATGTCCCCAAAGGGCAAGAAGAATCACAAATCCAAAAACACATAGCACTTGCACAGAGACATACTTCAATGACAGTAAACCTATCTGAAATCCTTTAAAATATAGCCAGGAGGGCTGGGCGGTGGTGGCGCACACCTTTAATCCCAGCACTCTGGAGGCAGAGGCAGGCGGTTCTCTGTGAGTTCGAGACCAGCCTGGTCTACAAGAGCTAGTTCCAGGACAGCCTCCAAAGCCACAGAGAAACCCTGTCTCTAATATACATACACACACACACACACACACACACACACACACACACACACACACACACATGCACACACACACATATATATGAGAGAGAGAGAGAGAGAGAGAGAGAGAGAGAGAGAGAGTGCCAGGAAATGGTCATCCAAGAGAAATGCTAGATTCAGCTATGGTTTCTGCTGGCACATGGTCCCTTGTTGGACCTGGTTGCTTAGAATTATAACTGAGTAACCAGGGTGAGAAAGAAAGAAAGAAACTGACATTAATTGAATATCTGCTGCCATGCTAAACACACCCCTCTCATCTCTTTTACTGTAGACACATTAGGAGAGGCCTTCTACAACCATTTGAAGAAAGCACATAAAGAAATGAACAGCACACTTTCAAGGCATATATGAGCAGGATATGCTCATCTCACAACCTGGAAGTAAGACTGTGTGGCATAAGGACTTGGAAATACACTTACCCAATGCCCTGAGCTATATTTTCTAACTGCCGACACATACAAGATCGAACTTCATATTCCACATCTTGACAGAGTGATTTTACCAGGGGAAGTATTTCTCTTTTAATGCTGAGGAAGATAGGTTTAAAAAAATAAACATGTAAATAGATGAACATTTTAGACTAATATTTTCAAATAATTCTCAAAATTTCAAATTACCAAATACGAAAGAGAACATCCTTGAATTTTAGATTCGTATGTTTAATATGGAGTGCCTACAGAAATCAGGAAGCTGGAAAGGGTACATAGATGGGCAAGGAAAAGGCCATGAGGGAGGGGAGAGTTGAGTTCATGTGATATGAAAGTAGGACCGGAGAAAATGAAGGATTAAGGGTTTAACAGGGATTGAGGAGGGAGAATGGAGGGATAAATGAGGTGGAAGGTGTGTGTGGTGGTATGAATAAAAATGACCCCTATAGGCTCACATTTTTGAACACTTAGTCATCAGGGAGTGGCACTACTTGAGAAGGATTAGGAAGTGTGACCTTATTAAGAGGAAGTGTGCCTGTCACTGGGGGAATGCACTTTGTGGTTTCAAAATCTCAACCCAGGTCGAGTCTCTCTATCTCTCTCTCTCTCTCTCTCTCTCTCTCTCTCTCTCTCTCTCTTCCTTCTGCCTGCAGATTCAGGTGTAGAACTCTCAGCTACTTCTCCACTACCATGTCTTCCTGCTTTCTGCCCTTACCATGATGATGACAGACTAAACCTATGAAACTATAAGCAAGCCCCAACTAAATGCTTTCTTTTATAAGAGTTGCCATAGTCATGGCATCTCTTCACAGCAACAGAACATTGACTAAGACAGTGGGTTAACCAAAACTAAGGGTATATGGAAAAGCTTTAAGGAGACCACTGCTCTGTCAGGTAATTATAAGGTACATTTTTTTTAAATAAAGGAGTTTGAATGGCAGTTCCATGTATAGGTATACAACACTTCTTTCTACAGAAGACATGGGTTATTAAACGAAAATCCGGGTGCCAGATGTGGGGTATCTCTCTATTATCGGTAGTTGTTCTTGGCTTTCCATGTAATTATATTAAGATCCTATTGCGTAAGACACATGTAATTTAGTTGTTTGACATAGAGAAATCAAGCCATAACTGAGAAGAAAACTTCTATCTTGATGGCTAGATTTCACAGTGCCAGAAGGTACAAAGCAGGTGATGAATGGAGAAGTTACCAATAGAATTAGCCAGTGGTTGATCTTGCATGCCACAAATACTGACCTGTGAGGCAAGAAGTCACTACTGGTGCAAAAGTGGTACGACTGTTATGGTAGTAATGAATTACTTTCTGGTTGGGTTTTAGTTCTGTTTCATGGGAAGGAATCCATGCCTATTACTGTAAATCTGGCCAAAAGCCCACAGCTAGAGAGGGTATAGGCCTTAGGTAGGATCTTACTACAGTTCTGGTTAATGAACAGTTGTCAAACTGCCTTCTAAGTATTTGTGTTTATACCCATATATTAGTGCTGCTCTCAACTAAAAATGATGTTTCTTGGTGATAGGAGAAGTCAGCACAGAGACTCACATATGTCCAAAGTGCTGAGAGTAAATGCCCACTGAGTATTCAACCCTAAATTGGACAGCCCCTACAAGAATCAGGGAATGCTGTGAAAGGGAGGGCAGAAAAAATGTAAGAAACAGATGGAGAGACATGCTGGATATGACATGGCTGTTGTACTCATGAATTTACAGCAGCCATGGTTACTGGCATAAGAACAAACCAGACAACATTCCAGCATGGATAGGAAAGGGACACTGGCAAGTAATGGCTATTGGGGAGGTTGCTTTTCTCCAGTGTGGGGGAATAGGTTGCCTTACATCCATGTGCATGCAGGCAGTAGTTATTGATAGATTATTTTTTAAAAAGAAGAAAAATAGGACATGAAAGTAGGAAGGGAGGTATCTGGAGGGGCTTAATGGCAGTAAAAGGACATTTGGGTTACATATCTCAAGATATATATTGTGACATTGTTAGATAATATTAAAATATTCTTTAAAATCATCACTTACCTTAGTTAACAGTTTATCATGCATTTTACATGTGTTATTAAATTTGAATGTTATCATCAGTTACTTGTAACTTATAACAGTATCTGTCCCAGCTGTTAAATGTCAATAGCTAATTCAAAAGGCTCTAGTAATGCAATGTCTGGCAACTGTCAGCCAAAATATACTTCTGCCTTGATGTTTACTCTCATGTTATAATTCACAACACATCAAGTGTGAACATGTGTCATTTGTTATCTAGAAGATAGATGCATGTATACTATAGATATGCTGTTATGAAATTATTCCAAATAAGGAATTCATAATGGTGATGTAAGGAATCCTATCTTTATGTCATATTTACCAATTTTGAAAGTCTCAAGATAATGCTATTTTATCTTCACAAGAAGACATGGTATGAGATAGGGAAGTCTTGAAAATCCATAAAATTGAGAAGAAATGCTTCTAGTAAGAAGATTTCTGTCTGAGAAGTCTATATAGCTACAAAAGGTTAAGTTTGTGAGTAGTATGGAATAATACAAAAGTAATCATTGTTGATACAGTCATTGCATATTTCAAATTAATTTAATAAGGGACAAAATTACATATAAATACTCACCTATGGACATCAAATTTGTTGGTTAGTTTTCCTAAAATTTTACAGCTAACTAATCGCGACTGGACAGTTTGGGAAAGCTGTGCCTTAGAAACAAGTGGGTTGAGAATCTAAAAGGAAACAATTTGAAGAATAAATGTAGGAAGTATTATACATTCTCATCACTAACACCAACTTCTTCAAAGAATATCTGCATGTTTTAAACACTTTTAAAGAACATGCATTACAATTGAGATATACGGTTACTCTTAACTTAGAGTACTTGCTTTGTCTTCTTGGCTAAGGTAAAGATGCCAAACTATGCAGTAAAAATGAATTAGGAAAAAGCACTGAAATAAAGCTCATTGCAAACTTTGAAGTGATCTGAGTGCATATGAAGATAATTTTGAAAGTACATTTTCAACAGAGAAAAACAAATTAGTTACCAAATACTCTGATCTTTATTTATCCTAAAAATATAGAAAATCTATTTAAGAAATTTTGTTACTTAAACATAATGACCTAAGTCTGGTGCTATATTCTGCATATACTAGGCACTCGAACATTCGATAGCACGACACACTGCATAGAATTATTCTAGCACCAACTTTTTAATGTTTAACCTTGCTATTTCTCATCCCAAGGATTCTATCAAAAAGATCACATCCTAAAAATGCTGAACACTCTTGAGTAACAATTGTCTCATTTATGTTTACACTGCTCTTCAAAAACACAAAGCGCACATGTCTGTATTGTGCTTAGCAGTTCCATCTGGATGCTGTCTAGATACTTGCCACCAGCTACACATTCTTTCTATTTGGTGGAGGGTGAGCGTGGTTTGAGACAGGGTTTCTCTTTGTAACAACTCAGGCTGTTGGGATTAAAGGAGTGTGCCACCACCAACCAGCCTAGTTACACATTATTACAACTGGATAAAACTTCCCATTTTAACAAGTATTCTGGTGTTGTGACAGAATGACAAACTACAATAAGGACAAAGACACAATAAAATCAGTGGAGGATATTTCAATGAATAGCTTTTTACAATGGTATGACTGCAAAGAAATATATACAGGGATAAATAATGTTCAAGACTGCTAGAGGACAGATGTGCTGTTTTTTCTAGTTTGCCATCTTAATTTATAATAAAGCCTTTCAAGAGGGGCAGAATGAACCATAACAGAAATTAAAAGACAAATAACCAAGTGGGAATAAGTCTTATACAAATATGTACAAATGCAACAAAAGATGGCAGAGTGATGGTATAATCCCAGCACTGGGGAGGCAGAGGCGGTGGGTGGATCTTTGTGAGTTTGAGGCCAGCCTGGTTTACAAAGTGAGTTCTAAGACAGCCACTGCTGTTACACAGAGAAACCTTGTCTCAAAAAAGAAAGAAAAAATGCAACTAATTTGATACAATATATGAAAAAACAGTCAACAGTGTATTTTTACATTTCCGATTAAAATGTAATCATACCTTTAGCCTATCAAATTACATTGGAACATTATTTTTGTTGTTGATTTTGAGGCAGGGTCTCATGTAACCCTGGCTGACCTTGACCTTGAATTCACAATGTAACCAAGGAGGACCTTGAACTTCTCCTCTTCCTGCCTTCACCTTCTGAGGACTAGGATTACAAGGTGTCGGGTGTCTGGTTCACACGCATGGGGTCATATGCATATGATGGGGGGGCCCTATGCATATGACTTGGGAATCAAACCCAGCATCAGTGCACACTGGGCAGGCACTCTACCAACTAAGCCACATCCCCAGTGGAACACTATTTTTAATAAAAGCTCTGGGTAACTACATTTCACATATTTAGTGAAGAGTTCGAGACTATTAATGTCCTCTCACCAGGAGACGCTACTTTTGTAGATGTTACAGTTAAAGACTACCTGAAAATCTCTACAGACAAGGCTTATTTTGATAGTAAAATTTAAGGCTGAAAATAGCTTCCAGCATTAAAAGTAAAATTATTTGTAACTACATACAGGAGGATAATGCTCACTGAAAAGTGACTATGCTCAGATTCAGTATAATTACTGACATGACAAGCAGCATCCACACAGAGGGGAAAACCTGAAGGACATATATCAAGAACTTAAAAGCAGCCAACTACAGAAGTATAAATTATTTTTCTTCGTTACATTTTGCAAATTATTTAAATTTTCTGCAATGAGCATATATTGCTTTCACAATGGAAACTAATCCTACTCCCTAAGAAAAAAATCATAAAGTGACTTACTATTTACAAAAAGAAAACAATCACAGAATTACCTCATGCCTCAGGGTTTCTTTTGGCAATAATTCTATTGCAGAGAGAAGCGTTTCCAGCCATGCATTGCTGACACCTAATGGGCATAGACACAACTTACTAGGTTAAACATCTCAGGTATAAATGCACTCTCAACTCATCCATTAACAGCTGGAATCACATTTTATTACAAAATAAGCATAATTGTTGTTATTATTATTCTAAGACATTTTTTACAGCTTTTGTCTTGACAAACTGGAAAATTTTAAACACTGAAGAATAATTTGAGGGAGGTAACTCTACCTTATGGTATTCTAGTCTCCCATGAACATAAACGTAAAGGAAAACATCTAAGGAAAGAATAACCCCCAAGACACACTAGTGTATTCTCTCTCCCAGGGATATTTCTTAGAGGGACTTCAGCTATTTTCATTGGGTCCATAGATGGTGAATGAACCACAGCCATTTGCTAAATACCATAAACAAGAATGTAATTAAGTATGTTCATCCCTGACCTGTGTCCCTGTGCTCCAGGTACAGGAGAATGATTTGCAGGAAGGAGTGTACGTAGGTGTGGACTGACATTGACTCTTCCTGCAGGATGGTCAGAAATGACACTGCAGCCGTTAGCTGCATTTCCACACTTGCAACATGCAGGACTTCCTGTGTGATCAGAAAGAATTAACTATTTACAAAGATGAGAGGTCAGAAGGGGATGTTTAAAAGAGCCAAGGTTACAGAAAGCGAAGCCATACTCTACAGATCATTAAATACAACTTTTAAGGATGCAGTTCTTATTACTTTAAGAGGACTATATTAGCCTGCCCCTAATATTTAATTCATTTGATGACAAATTTCTTAAGAAGTCTTCAATGTTTTAAGAATTTATACAATAGAAGGGTTGCATTCTGGCCCTGGACACATGGGGAAGGGCCCAGGACCAGCACAGGAAGATTTGGTGGACTTTGCAGAGCCCCCGTTGAGGACCCTACCCTGCCTGGGGAGTGGTGGGTAGATGGGGTGGGGGTAGGCTGGGGGTGGGGGTGAGGGGAGGGAGAGGGAGAAGGGACTTACATGTGAAACAAGCTTGTTCCCTAACTAGAACTAATAAATAAATTTTAAAAAAAGAATTTATACAATACATAACATTCTTTTGCTTTACTGGATGAAAATGATAAACCATGTGTAAACCTTTAAAGGACAGAATAGGTGGTTTTGATGGATTTGAACTTTTAAACTGCTAATGGCAATATGCAGATGTCATCCTACTGAGCACATAATATCAAAGCTCAATCGCATGTATTCTTAAAAGAAATGTTTCTAAACAATAAATTAATTCATAACCATTTAAAAACTTGAACATGCATATTCAAATTTAAAGCCTACATAAAAACATATAATTTTAATACATAAAAGGCTAAAAAAAAAAAACCTAAGTAAATCTTATCAAATATCACGATAACTGTGCTTCTCTAGAAGTCTGTTGGTTTTAGGGATGTATGTATAATGTAAAGACAGAGCAGAATTTTTTTACCCAATTATGCAAATGTGAGAACTTCACTCATATGTCAGTTTTGTGACTGGCAGAGCAAAGTTATCAGAACATCATGATACCTGTTATCATAAAATTAAATTTTTATGATCTTGGGAAAACTAACCTTCCTGGAATTATTTCCTTATATAATAAAAGTCAATTACAACATGACTATCATACAAATTTAAATTTGTATAATTTACCAATTTACTGTGCAAATGACCACTTAATAATGACCACAACATATCTTTCTCTACATTACCCTTGAGTACATAGAAGGAACAGCACCTTGCCCACATCTTCACTGGTCTTGTCCTAAAACCTATGCTTCCTGTCGCCTTCCTCTCTCTGCTAGTAATTGACAACTCTGTTTTGACAAACTTCTAAGTCTATGAACTTCAGATTCATCCTTAGCTCCCCTGATTCCCTCACTCAACCCATCCTTTGGATCTACCTTCAAAACAGATCCCTAATCTGACCACTTGTCCCCTCCCCCACTACTACATAGTCTAAGCCACCATCAACTCCAGCTTAAATTATCCCAATAACCTTTACCTAGTCTGATTCCTCGTTGCTCCTCTCTTATCCTCCACTAGAAAGCCAGAGAGATTCTCTCAAGAATTAATAACCTCCTTTCAGCTCAGATCTCTCTATGGCTTTCTTGAGTCTCACTCAGAGTCCAAGTTGTTTTGCAATTTACAGGATCTGCTCAGAAATCCTCCTTAGTCCAGATTTCCACATGGTGGCGCCCTGACCTCTTGTAAGCCCGGACTCTGAGACCTTTATTTATTTATTTATTTATTTATTTATTTATTTATTTATAAATTGGAAACAAGCTTCTTTTACATGTCAATCCCAGTTCCCTCTCCCTCCATCCACCTACCCCCCTATCCCAACCCCTTTCTGCTTTCAGGGATGGGTCCCCAACAGTTCTATTTTAAACTACTTCAAAAGTAAATGTTACACATTCTACTCTTTAAAAGAGCATTATGAATATGCAAATGACATGCTCCCTAACACATTTACCCCAAGTTCACCAACCCCTGGAGAAGCTTAGGCTATCACCCAACATGCAGCACAGCCCTTTGAATATGGTCTATATCCCCCAAATAGAGAATTTTTTTGAGGCTTTGAGAACTTTTGTTCTCTGTAACTGTAACTCTGACTCTGAACACATAGCATGCATTCAGGACAGAACTTTCTGCTCTTAGTGTTCTCTCTCTTCCTACATACTTTCAACAGCTCCTAAAAGGTGGTGTCAAGATATTTTAAGGAGCTGGGTGGTGGTGGTGGCACACGCCTTTAATCCCAGCACTCGGGAGGCAGAGCCAGGAGGATATCTGTGAGTTCGAGGCCAGCCTGGTCTACAAAGCTACACAGAGAAACCCTGTCTCAAAAAATCAAAAAATAATTTTTTAAGGTAGGCCCTAAAGATTAGGGATTGGCAGAATCAGACAAAAGGCAAGGCTAAACACACAGGTACATATTCTCACTCTTCTTTCAATTATGTCCATACAAAGCTGCTCTTGCTATGCTCTACCCCAACAACTATCACCACTATTTATATTCTGCACCCATATTCCTTGCTTCATCTGGTGCAGAGAAACAGATAGCACCCATCAGGTGGAAGTAACATACCTAATACTCCATCAGAAGGAACAGCAGAGTGTTGAACTGTTTGTGGCTGGCCACTGAGTGAATACCCTACAACCAACCAAAGCCCTCCTGGATACTGTCTTTCTCTTCACAGATCCCACATGTCCATTCACCATTAAGACATGGTTCATACCGACACTAAGCCTCATGGGGCAGTGAGGGAAATGTCACAGTGGCCTTTGATATGGCAAATGTTTATGCAATATGGTTACTTCCCATAAAGTCCACCACTTGCTTGTGTGGCTGGTTTTTGTTTTATTAAAAGTGTTGGCATCACACACGCACACAAATGTAATTATGTAAGTTTTTTTCAACTAGCTATCAATTGTGTATCTTAAAAGTCTTGGGCTGAGAGAAAAAGAGAAGGCATGTTAAGGCCGAGGATATAATTAGACTCTGAAACCAGCCTTCCTATCACCCTTGTTTTCCTGTTTCCAGAATAAACATTCATTCCATACTAACCATTTGGAATCTGGAGACACATTTTTTAAAACAAAAATCTGATGGCCAATATAGAGACTTACAGGTTTGAAAAGCATAGCTTTTATTTAGAAACAGAAAGGACTTTGTAATCAAATAAATTATGAGAGCCACATTATGCATTCCAGTTCACATGGGTTGCTGTTTTAAGTAACAAGAGCTGCTTCCCGGCCCCTAACGTCACTATATCCTGGGTTTGCACAGAGGCAAACTGCATGCAAAGTAGAACAAGAAGAGCTTCCAGCTTCGTCTTCTTACTGTATGACTTAACCTTGACTCTCGCAGCAATATTTGCCCCAACTATTTGGCATTTAATTTCAAGAAATCCTCAAGTCTTATCAGGATTTCAATCTTTCTCTTGTTGTGCTGACTTCAACATCTGGGACTGTCCACTGTTAAGAAACCAGCACAGACTATGAGATTTCATCACTGCTTAAAAAAAGAAAAGAATTAATTTCTAAACACATTTTCTGAAATGTGGTATAATAAATTTCATACTTACCAATTAGTGTTTTCCTCCACAGAGTCACACCCTCTGACAAACATCATGAAATGCATGCTCCTGGGATAAGGAAGTGTGCAACCTCATGGACCTTGGGAGACGCTGAGAAGTAAACCCCTCCATTTGCTTAGGTGCAGGCCTAAAGGCCAGGTACCACTCCTATTATATACTATTCTTTGGCAGGCAGCCCAGTCTAAACTTCACAAATGAGATGAGGTGTTTCATCAGGGCGTAACGGGACATTCCAAAGTGTTTAAAACCAGTCCTATTGAAGGACGGAGGGCATGCTAGGCACTTCTGCAATGCATTCTGGTCAGTATTTTATAAAATAGTGTGTTGCCTCCTTTGCAGAGAGGGAAATAACTGTCTCCAGTGAACCTTTATTATATCCATCAAAAATTGTTTTCTCTTCACAATGTACAACAGAGAGAAGCATTAGATCCACATGGTCTACAATTACTAAGTAAAACTGAAAAGTACATTACAATACTGATTGTTTCAACTTAGATAATAGGAACTTAAATATTTGGGGGATTAAGGGACATTAATGTGGTCACTTTCAGTAATTAACAGTAGGTGGCAGCTCTTTTATTACAGAATTACAACATTTACAAAAGACTAAATCTGAGCTATAGATAAACAGATGGAACGTGCCAACTCTAAAATGCCTGTAACAATTTCCTCCCATACTTCATTCTCTTCCTCATCCCAAACCAAAAGAAAGAGCTGAGAGGAGAGCTAGCTAAGAAGAGCAGGTCAAGCAGGAAGAGAGATGCACTGCAGATAATAAACCAGAACAATGAAGAGATGCATGCAGCCCTTCTTTAAATCCACACTTCAGTGAGGAAGCAGAGAACTGATGAGGATATATACAAACAATATCCTAAAATCCCTTTTGTAAAGGGAATAGCAATGGTCACTCTTACACCATTGGAAATGGGAGAATAAATGCCCTGACAAGCAAAAATATAGGGTCACCAATAAAAAGAAAAAGAAAAAAGAGGAGGAGGACGACAAGGAGGCGTGGGAGAATCAAGGTCTTAAAACTGCACTTTCAGCAGTTTTATAAGTCGTTCTTATACATAATATATTAGAAACATGGATTTCATAGTTCCAATTTAAAATGTAAAGTAACAATTTAACACTTTGCAAAATATGTGTTTTTTATATGTGTATTTAATACCTACAATAACCACTTCATATGATCCATAAAGTATTTAATTAGTTAAATATTTTGTGAGGAAAAACCTATAAACTGCTTTCCTTAGTGAACAGTAGTCATGGAAAGTCTAGTGATTTCTATAAGCATATGGAAAGTGTTTTCCTAATAGTCATATTTTTTCTATCTTAAACTTATTCCCTACAACATTCTAGTAAGAATCGTCTTTTTAGGTTTCTATAAATAAGTTTATTAACAGTATGCCACTGACAGAAATGAAACCCAACAAGTTCCTAACAAGCAAGTTGAAAAGCATCAATAATCAAAAGGCT